GAGGGCAGGGGAAGTAATGTAAATATTTTCTACCAAAAGAATGATGACAGGAACTTAACCTTTAGAAGGCTACCTGCCTTCACCACCTTGAAAAACACCCGTGTTTCCATGAAGGCAGGCCTTGCTGCATTCCTGAAACTTGGTGGCCTGGAGCAGCTGACCTGGTTCCCTATTTCTTCCTTTCCTTCCCTCTGATTTTTTGAAAATTAGGCAGCCCCAAAGCATGTGTGATGGAACTCCACCCAGTGGGAAGAAGGCACAGTGCTCTGGAGTAAGAATAAAAACCTACCACATTTCCTGCTCTGCTCTGGGCTTGCTGCTTAAATGAAACAACACACTTTACAAAAGCAAACCCCGACTTGCCACTTAAAATAATGGTAAGATAATGGGGAAAGGCGCTTCAGGATGAGGGAGGGGGGCGGCATGATAAAAACTGCAGGAATGCAAAGCAGTGTGGTAAATAGACAATCAGGCAATTAGTTATTGCAGGAGGGCCAAGGCCCAGCGTAAAGAAGAGGCTCATAAAACGTGGCAGGGCTATACATAAACTACATGTTTTGAACTGCGTATTGCAGGAGATGGTCTCCAATAACTTTCTGTCTCTTGAAATACGAGAACTTTGAAGAGTACAGGTCAGTTACACCTTATTGACTCTCCAGTTTGGGTTTCTTCTGATTAGGATTGGTTATGCATTGTTGGGCAGGAAAACTGGAAAAGATACCCCAATTTCTTCATGGTTCATATAAGAAAATGTGCAGAATTAATTTGTACTTTACTGATGATTTTCACTTTGACAACGTGTTTCTTCGCTGTAAATTACCGTCTTCCCTTAAATGTTCTGTAGGCACTGTGTAAAGATACGGTGACTTGCAGAGAGCCCTTTGATTTAGCAAGTGAAAGAGGACACATGCAAACTTCTAGTTAAAAGACATTTATTGATGTTTCTAAAGCAAACAGCCATTGGAAATAGCCTGTACTTCTATTGTTAGTGCTGCATTTGGTTTAGTAAATTATTCACACAGTAGAATACATGTAGTCACAAAAGTATGAGACAAATGTACTAGTGACCATAAATAAGTTACAATATAGTATAGAAAACAAGTAACTATATTGCATTATATGGTGCAGTTAAAATATATTTTAAAGTTTCATTTATTATTGTAGTATATGTTTGCATTTGGGCCATGGGATGCACATTGGGAATCAGAGGGCAGCTTTCTGTGCTGTGGAGTAATCCTTCTGCACATTGTGTAAATAAATGTGTTGCTCTCATTGTTAATAAAAAGCTGATTGGCCAATAGCTAGGCAGGATTTTAGGGGCAGAGAGAATGCTGGGATGAAAGGGTGTGTAGTCAGAGGCATTGAGCGAGCCATGGAGAGGAAACAGAAGGTACAAGATGAAAGAGAGGTAATGCCACATGGCAGAATGTAGATTGATATAAATGGTTTAATTATAGTTTGAAGAGCTAGTTATTAATGAGCCTGAGCTATTGGCTGACAATTTATAATTGAGTCTCTATGTGGGTTATCTGGTGGGCAGGAAAGAAAAGTCTGCCTATATTTGTGCAGTTATTTCTTTTTTCCACCCTCACGGATGTTCTGGGAATTAAACTCACTTGTTATGTTTGAGGGGCAAGCACTTTTACCACTGATCCATTTCACTAGTCCTCTCAATATATCTATACATGCCAGAACTTAATAAATCTTTCCAAGTTGTTACCCTTTCTGCCTGAGAAACATTTACACAACCCTAAGTACAGAGGTACATACAATGGTATACAAATCAGACATTCACTGATAACAAATCACAAGGAAATTTTTTTTTTTAATGTTTTGGGATCAGTGAGGTGGCTCAGCTGGTAAATGCACTTGATGCCAAGCCATCCAGTGTGTGTTTCATCCCTGGGACTCACATGGTAGTGAGATCGACTCTGCAACTTGTCCTCTGACCCCCCAATGCTTGCTACAGTGTGCATGGGTCAACACACAGCGCACACATGCGCACGCACGCGTGCGCGCGCGCACACACACACACACACACACACACACTAAATGTAATAAAACAATTCTTTGGTATGAAATAACATCAAAAAATACTTAAAATCTATTTTATCTTTATGTGTACGTGTCTGTGTGAGTATAACACCATGTGTACAGATGACCATGGTATGTAGAATATTAAGATGTGTTACATTTGTGTATTCTATGGAATATTTGTTTAATGATGCAAAGATGTGTTGTATTCCTTTATGTTTCATCTGTTTAACTCTGTGAAGCTGTGTTACTTTGATTGTCTAAAACATCTGATTGGTCTAATAAAGAGCTGAATGGCCAATAGCAAGGCAGGAGAAAGGATAGGCGGGGCTGGCAGGCAGAGAAACTAAACAGAAGGACAAAAAGAAGAGGGCCAAGGAACAAGAAAAGGAGGAGAGGAGGACTTGAGGGACCAGCCATCCAGCTACACAACGTAAGAAGTAAAAGTATGCAGAAATAGAGAAAGGTAAAAGCCCAGAGGCAAAAGGTATACGGGATAATTTAAGAAAAGCTGCCTAGAAATAAACCAAGCTAACACTGGGGATTTATAAGTAATAATACGTCTCCGTGTGATTTATTTGGGAGCTGGGCGACAGGCCCCCAACACCACCATGGAGGTTAGAAGAGGAAGTGAGATTTCCAGGAGCTAGAGTTACAGGTGGTTGTGATCTACCTGACCTGGATGCTAAAAACTAAATTCAGGTCCTCTGCAGCAAGATCAGTAATCTCTCTTTCTCTTTACATGGACATATGTTTTTATTTTTCTTGGATATATTTATCTACCTAAAAGTGGGTGATCCAGTGTATGAAGGTTTTTTCCATTAAAAATTTTTTTTATTTCATTTTACATTCAAACCTCAGTTCTTCCTCTCACCCCAGTAAGCTCTCTTAACTGCAGAGCCATCACTCTAGTCTCTAGAATAATTATAACATAGTGCTTTTTATCAATGACAAAAGCTAATCTGCACTACTAATAAGACATACATGCTTATTCATTTTATATAAAGAAATCTTGATTAGGGTGTTGTGGCACATGCCTTTAACCTCAAAACTTGAAAGGCTGAGTTTGAGGCTAGCCTGGTCTTCAGAGCAAGTCCCAGGATAGCCAGGACAAGGACTACACAGAGAAACCCTGTCTAGGGGAAAAAAAATCTTGACATTATAGGTCATAGAGTATATTTCATATTTTTCATAGTTGATTAATATATTGATTTATAATTGTCAATGCTGAGAATGCTGCTTTGAATAAATATAGTACAAAATGGTAGAAGTATAATCTGTTCTGTTTTAGAAATTATTGGAAATTCTGTCTAATCCAAGCCCAAATCTACTGAATAATTTTTAAAAGATTTATTTATTTATTATATATTCAGGGTCATGTATGCCTGAAGGGCAGATGAGGGCACCAGATCTCATTATAGATGGTTGTGAGCCACCACGTGGTTGCTAGGAATTGAACTCAGAACCTCTGGAAGAGCAGGCAGTGCTCTTAACTTCTGAGCCATCTCTCCAACCCCTCTACTGAGTAATTTTAAAAAATGAAACTCAAGTCAACAACTCCAACAGGAATATATAGAAACAAACATTCAGTTCACTATGCAGATTCTAACCATCATAGGGGGCACTGCTACTCAAAGGCCATTCAATCTAAAGATACGCCGACTTGGTACATGATGAAGGGTGATGGTAGGAAAATACAAAAAGTCTTGTTTTCTGTAATGAGACCATTATGCTTAAGAGCAAAACACCAAGTATGGTAAAACAAACAAAGAACAAAAAACATGTAGTTCACAGCACACGGAAGTCTCCAGAGGAAGCATCTGTGGGCTGTCTGTGTGTCAGCACCCACAGTTAATGCAGTGTGTAGGCAGTGGTTCAAAATCCCGATGCATACACTAAGGAGATACCTGCGATGCACTTTGCGTTTATTTCTGAATTAACTTTTGGTTGATAGGCTTTCAAAAACCTTTTAATATTGCTAAATATTTTGCGACCCTCACATTATAAGTCACGAGCCATAGTTTAGGAAGCATGTAGTCATTCATATGCCATATACATACACGTATGTAGTCAGTAACTGATATTTTTTGCTTAAATGTATACATGTATATTAGAAGTTATACAGTGGCTATACAGCAAAAGTTATTGAGAACATGAGCTTTTCTGGTCTGTTAAGGTGGAAAAGATAAAAAAATATAACAAATCCAGTATCAATTTGCTTTTTTCTAGTGACAAACACAAGTTAGTACGTTCTTGAACATACTGATTATGTGTAGTTGAAAGATGTAGGTTTGTATCTGATAAGCTCTAAAAGCTTTTTAACCGCCACATTTCTTGATTAGGAGAATTCTCTGAAACCATAAAATCAGATTAATGTAAAAAAGAACCCATCGTTGGTATTGAACAACCTGACAGTTACAAGCATTATTTATTTCAATGGCGGGGTGTGAAAGGAAGGCTTGAGGAAGGGCTGATTTCAGTCCTATCTGGCCTCCATTAATATTTTTTGAATGAGTTTTTTTTTTTTTTTTCTTTTTGAGGATCAGGTTCCAGGCAAGCACTGCCACAGAGAAGCTCAACTCCGAGAAGGGAATTACTGCCCCAGAATCTCCAGGTGAACCACGCCCTTCCCAGCCACCTGCGAGTATGGGAATTTCACTGTCCCTGTCTCCCAAGTGTCCAGACAACGGAAGTGGCGTGCCCGGGTGTCCTCGGACTCCACGTGGTGCCGGAGGAGCAGCTAGGTTAGGCGAGCAACCAGAGGCCCGGCGAGCTGCTGGGCGGGGCGCCAGTACGCGTGCGCGGCGAGGACGGGGCTGCCGGGCGCCCGCTGGCCGCGCGCCCGGGAGGGCGGGGCGCTAGCCGCGCGTGCGCGGCGGGGGCGGGGCGCGCAGCGTAGGGGCGGGCCCTACTTCTTCCCCGTCCGGCGCCCAGGCTTACGGGCCGAGCTCCGCCCCGGCTGGGTCTCTCCCCTCCCTCGGCCGTTCCTCCTCCTCCTCCTCCGGCAGGCAGGCAGCATGGCGGCGGTGGAGACGCGGGTCTGCGAGACGGACGGCTGCAGCAGCGAGGCCAAGCTCCAGTGTCCCACCTGCATTAAGCTGGGCATCCAGGGCTCGTACTTCTGCTCGCAGGTAGCCGCCCAGGCCGCGCCCCTCCGGGCCCCCCGCCTCCGGGCCCCGCCGCCTCCCCCTCGGGCCTCGGAGCGGCCCGGGCCTCGGAAGCCGGCCGCCGGCGCTCGCGGGAGCGGGAGCTGAGCTGCGGCGGGTTCGGGCCGCGCATCCGCGGCGGGGAGGGCGGCCAGGTGTGTGGGCAGGTGGGGACCCGTGGGGACGCGCGGGAACCGGTGGCCCGCGACCTCCGCCCGAGCCGGGGTCGGGTCCGGACGCCGCGGCCGCGCTCCCGCGGCTTCACTCGGGTGCGGGTGCAATCCGGGACGGAGACGGAAGCGACCCGCCGGGGCCTCCGGGTGGCCGCAGCCTCCTGAAGAGGGGAGCCAGTTTCAGCCTCATTCCCCTTGTGTTTTACTACCGTGCTTTGACATTTAAGCAACTTTGGGTGTGGGAGTGGAGAGGGGTCTGTGTAATTCATTCTTTTCCGTTGGCATCTCGGGTTATTAATTGAGGTAAAGAGATGAGTCACTTCTGTTAGAGTGGAAAGGACAGTTCCCTCAATGGTTGTGCTTTAAGGCTCTGATGTATTTAGGAAGTTTTGTGCACCTGAGCAAACCCAGCATTGAATGGGCCCTGACAAAAGTGTGTGCTTACTGAATAGTATTTGTGTTCGGTTCCATTTCGAGACCCAGAATGAGTTTGTTGACCAGGGGCATGTAAATATTTTGATAATAAACTGATAGGTTCCTGGGAGTTAATCAATAGTCCAAAGGCCTTGGTATGATAATTCCTATGAGGTCTTGAATAAGTGAAGTGACTTCCCGAGTTTCAGTGCTTCCCTATACAGACAGAATGAGAATAGTTTTCCTTCTGTATTTCACAAGGTTGCACTGAAATTAAGGCCATGCAGCCCTACAATGTAAGACGTTTTGTTTTTTAAAGGATTCCGCTACAGTTTAATACTGATATATAAATAAAGTTGAATAAGAATAGTTATGTGCCCAGGCGGTGGTGGCAAGCCTTTAATCTGGGAGGCAGAGGCAGGTGGATCTCTTGAGTTCCAGGAAGGCCAGGGCTATACAGAGAAACCCTGTTGGGTAGCGCGCTTGGGAGGGTGGCAATAGTGTATGAAAACAACAGAAACTGTTTTCAAATATAAAGTACATGCAAAGAGAAATGTGAAATTAAAACCTATGATTAAAAACCTTAATATTTGTAGATAAGTCATTGCAAGAGATCTCACAGTTGTATGAGTCTTGTTTTTAGAGGGTATATACATGATACTTGACCTTGTTGCTATCATTTTGCCAAAAACGATGTATGAGAAGTGTTGCTTGATCTAAAAATAGCATTAGGGCTATCAACCCAGTAGAGGGCCTCTTGTGGCTTTAACATTTTCCAATTCTAAACCCACTGAGTTCTTTGTGGGACCTGGACTTAAAACAAAAATTTGCTGTGAAAATTGTGAACCACCTAAGTAGATTAATGTAGTCTATATAGTTTAAAGTTGGGAGTTGCTAGGTGTAATAGCACACACCTTGAATTCTAGCACTTGGGTGGCAGAGATTGGTAGATCTCTACTAGGCTAACCTGGTTTACATAGTGAGTTCAAGGCAAGCCCATGGGCTGGGAATTGAACCTGGGTCCTATGGAAGAGCAGCCAGTGCTCTTAATCATTGAGAGCCATCTCCAGCCCAGCCACTATTTTTCCTTTCTTCCTTCCTTCTTTCCTTCCTTTCTTCTCACTTTTTTGAGATAAGAGTTTAACACACATGCAATTAAAAATAAAGAGAGGACACAGATTTAAGAGCAAGAGGGTTTATGGGAAGGGTTGGAGGGAGGAAAAAGAAGGAGGAAATGATATAATTATATGTTAATTAAAATATATATAAATGCTTAAAAGGTTTTGAAAAACTGTTCATCAAGTACAGGTGACTTTCTGTTATAAAGAATATTGTTGTAGTTTGGAGAAATGTCAGATATTTGTCAGAATATCCAAGACTTATTCATGGTAGAAAGAATGTAGCCTCTGCTGGAGTCTGTAGGTACACTGTAGACAGATGGTTGGTTCTGCCCTGCCTGCTCTCACAGCCATTTAGTCCCAGTAAACACACAGAGGCTTATATTCATTATAAACTGGCTGATGGCTCAGGCTCCTTATTGACTAGCTCCCTCTTAATTATTAACCCATTTCTGTTAATTTGTGTTTCTCCACATGGTCTTGGCTTACCCTTGATGCCTGGACCTCTTGCTTCTTGGGCAGCTACATGGTGTCTTGCTGGCAACTTTATGCATTCCTCTTCCCAGCCTTCTCCTAGTCTGGTAGCCCTGCCTATACTTCCTGCCTGGCTACATCCTGCCTGTCCACTGGCCTAAACCAGCTTTATTCATCAACCAATAAGAGAAACATACATTCGCAGCACACAGGAGGACACCCCCCATCATCATAGTACTAGTATTACTGCTAGACCTGCCGTCAAACATTCAGAGTGGCTTATGCTGTCTTTCTTCATTCCTATTATCACCTTCCACAGCTGCTCTGTAAAGTTTGTCACCGAGTCACGTGTAGTTCATTCATTTTTCCACTGTCATTCTTCACTTTGTAAACACACCACCCAAATCAAACCAGGCAATATCTTCCCTAATAATGTCATTTTCCCCACAGTTGGATAATGCTTATTTCAGTAATGAGACTCTTACTGCTGCTTTTGGTGTTCTCATTACAAAATTAGGTAACCCTTCTCAGGTTAGCCGATTATCTTGCTGTAGTCACGGGCTGTGCTTAATACTCTATACTTACCCAAATGTCACTTGCTCTCTGAAATCATAGCTGTTCTTTCAGCCCCAGTAGAGACCTTGGCAAGCCACTGTAACTTTTCTTAAACACATTTTACATCAGTGTTGAGGCTAAGGCTTTTATTTTGCCATTGGGCGTGTTCCTTTCTTCCCTCCCTCCCTCCCTCCCTCCCTCCCTCCCTCCCTCCCTCCCTCCCTCCCTCCTTCCTTCCTTTCTTTTTTCTTTTTTTTTGTTTTTCAAGACAGGATTTCTCTGTGGCTTTGGAGCTAATCCTGGAACTAGCTCTTGTAGACCAGGCTGGTCTTGAACTCACAGAGATCCTCCTGCCTCTGCCTCCCAAGTGCTTGAACTAAATGTGTGCGCCACCACTGCCCGGCTGGACATGTTCTTTTCAGATTTTCTTTTCTTTTTTCCTTCTTCTGCCTCTCTCTTTCTTTTCCCTAATACTGGCCAGCTTGTTGTTGGAATCAAACTGAACCAAACTACAAAAGTACCTATTTATAACAACATAACTTTTTTATAACATGTTAATGACCTGCAGCTACCTTATTAGTTAGAAAACAGAAGACAGTGTCTTTGATCATAAGGTGAGGTATCATTTTCATGGCTGAATGCTCATTTCCTTGTACTGTACTTTGTATGCAGCAAGTGGTGAACACATTTGAATGAAGAGTAAATGTCTGGAAAGGCAGAGAGAGGCTCCTCTTCTGTGTAACTTTGCATAAAGCTTCTGGCTTTTGGAAATGGGGGCACTGATAGTTCCTACCAAAAGCTTTTGGTAGGTGAAATGAGTAGGTAAGGTACTTACCTGAGTAGTAAACTATAAATAATGGCTCATTGTTTAAAAATGCTGTATTTTATGTTTAAAAACATAAAAATATTTTTGTCTGAGTTGTTTCATTTTAAGAAAAGTTCTTCCTTTAATGGAATAAGACCCATTATTCTTAAAACTGACCTTTCCAAAGGTTGTGATGACTGAGTGTCTCAAAAGGCATCTCTTCTTAGTAAATTAACAGTAGTTACATGTACCCTATTTTCTTTACTTGTGAGAGTTGTTTTTTGAGATGGGGCTGAGGGTTACTCCTTTGGTGTTTTCTGAAGTTCCTTATGGTACCAGTGTCCTTTCAGTTCATTAAATGGAAGTTGAAGAAATGGGCCTGCAGTGGAAAGTGGAGTTCCTTCCATTCTTACATTGTCTTTTTAAAGGGTGGGTAACTCTAGACAAGTGTCTATTAATTACTACCATTTATTAATTATGGTGGAACTTAAAGTTTCAGTTTCTTAACTGCTCTGATTTAATAAGGTTCTGTGCTGTTCATTGTCTTGCCCTGAGCCAGATGATCAGCTGAGAAGGAACTAAATGGTGGATTATTGTTTATGGATTTCAGAACTTAAAAAGTCAGTGATTGTAGCTAAGTGAAGGAGACTGCATATGCAGTCAGACCTGGGTTTCAATCTTTGCTCCAGTATCCTTGGATAACTAACTCATCTTGTAACTTTTAAGAGAGGACTGATGGGTGGTACCATTCTTAGAGTAAGGAAGAAGATGAATAAGATCAAGTAAAATGTCTAGCCTAGTGTTTGGTAAATGATTTCAAGACTCTTACTACCATATTTATCATTTAGATTTATTTATCATGTGTGAGAGACTGTTGTGTCTGCATGTATGTATGTGTACCATGTAGGTGCCTGGTGTTCTTGGAGGTCAGAAGCAGCTTGCAGCCTTCAGATCCCCTGGAACTGGAGTTAAGGATGGTTGTGAGCCACCTTGTGGGTGCAGGGAACTGAACTTAGGTCCTCTGCAAGAGCAACAAGTACTCCCCCCCCCCCAGGGGTTCTTTGTGGTTTTGGAGGCTGACCTGGAACTAGCTCCTGTAGACCAGGCTGGTCTCAAACTCACAGAGATCCTCTGTCTCCTGAGTGCTGGGACTAAATGCGTGCGCCACCAACGCCCAACTGCTACAAGTGCTCTTAACTGCTTTAGAATTACTCATATATTGAAAGAAGGTAAAGAAGGTATTTGAGAGTAACTATTGTTTAACAACATTCGGGTAAATTATTCTTATTTTTTGAAACAAATTCTCATTATATAGTCTAAGCTGGGTCCTCCCTAAGACTGGCAATCGTGGCTTAGCCTTTTATGGTGGGATATAGGCATACACACCACTGTGCCCAGTTTATATTTTGGATGTGCTGTTGCCACCAGTCAGCCAGTTCTTCTGGAGCAGCAGTGATAGACTACCAACTCCAGTCCATAGGTTACTAGTAAACACTAACTCCAGTCCATAGGTTACTAGTAAACACTAACTCCAGTCCATAGGTTACTAGTAAACACTAACTCCAGTCCATAGGTTACTAGTAAACACTAATTCCAGTCCATAGGTGACTAGTAAACACTAACTCCAGTCCATAGGTTACTAGTAAACACTAACTCCAGTCCATAGGTTACTAGTAAACACTAACTAACTCCAGTCCATAGGTTACTAGTAAACACTAACTCCAGTCCATAGGTTACTAGTAAATACTAACTAACTCCAGTCCATAGGTTACTAGTAAACACTAACTAACTCCAGTCCATAGGTTACTAGTAAATACTAACTCCAGTCCATAGGTTACTAGTAAACACTAACTAACTCCAGTCCATAGGTTACTAGTAAACACTAACTAACTCCAGTCCATAGGTTACTAGTAAACACTAACTAACTCCAGTCCATAGGTTACTAGTAAACACTAACTCCAGTCCATAGGTTACTAGTAAATACTAACTAACTCCAGTCCATAGGTTACTAGTAAACACTAACTAACTCCAGTCCATAGGATACTAGTAAATACTAACTAACTCAAGTCCATAGGTTACTAGAAAACACTAGACTAGATGAGCGTGTCCGTTACTCATCGGTCTCTGCTTCTGTCTATGTCCATCAGTGACTTTGTCATTTGATAGCTCACACGCAGGCAGCAATGGGTGTTTCTCATCCAAAATATCATGTGACATTTTGCAAAAATAATTGGAAGGAATTGACCAACCCAAATGAAAATATGAGGAAGAAATTATAAGTGATAATGTTGGACATAAAATTTAAACCAAATACATAGCGGTAAAGGCATATTTTGGGGCAAGTTAGATAGATGGTGTAGTATTGAGAACATTTGCTGTTCCCACAAAGGAGTAGAGCTCAGTTTCCAGAACTCATATGGGGTGACTTACAGCTGCCTTAAAATTCCAGTTCCTGAGGTTCTCATGTTCTCTACTGGCCTTTGTGTACACTACTGCATGTGCTGTACTACAGACACACACATAAATACTAGAAAAAAGACATGTTGGTGACATGGCATTGTTTGACATTACAGGCTTTCTGAAGACCCTAGAATGTAGCCAGAGGAAATGGGGGTGGTGTGTGTCTGCCTTTTGACATAAATGTTGGAAGTATGTCATTCTAGGGGAAGTGGCACCAGCTCATGTGAGTAAAGTACATAGTAGGTTAGACGTCAGGCATTCAATAGTAAAGGCATTCAGCAGTTAATATAAGATGGTTTCTTACCACTTGAGACAAATATTACATGACTAATCACATAATTTAAGTTATAAAGACTAATAGAAATGCACAGAGCTGTGCAATGGGAGAGATAAAGGAGGGTCAGGTAATGCTAAGGATGAGTCTATTGTAGCAATAGTGGATACCAGAAAGGCTTCAGACTAGGGACCAACCAATACAGACTTGAGCACTTGACAGTGTTGTTCTCCAGATGTGTACTCTAATTTAAGATTATTTTTATCAAAGGTTAAAAAAAAATGTGGACTGCAAGGGCCAGCTTTCAGGGTTGGGGATTTAGCTCAGTGGTAGAGCACTAAGCCCAAGGCCCTGGGCTCAGTCCTCAGCTCCAGAAAAGGGGGAAACACACACACACACACACACACACACACACACGCACGCACGCACGCACGCACGCACGCACGCACGCGCGCGCGCACGCACGCGCCAGACAGTGGTGGCGGATGGTGGCACATGCATTTAATCTCAGAACTTAGGAGGCAGAGGCAGGCGGATCTCTGAGTTCCAGGCCAGCCTTGTCTACAGAGCTAGTTCCAGGACAGGCTCCCAAACTACAGAAAAACCTGTCTCGAAAAGCCAAAAAACAAAACAAAACAAAACAACAACAACAAAAAAAAACCCCAAAAGTGTGTATGTGGGTTTGTGCATGTGTATATAGTGTCCACAGAGGACAGAAGAGGGTATTGGATCCCTGGAGCTGGAAGAGTTACAGGCAGTTGTAAGCCTCCTTATATGTGGGTGCTAGGAACAGAATTTGGTGTCTGTTCAAGCTGTCAGCGTCAAAAGCCATCTCTCCTGCTCACACTCATAATGATTCACGAGGTCCTAAACTACATAGAACTGGCTTTTAATACAGACAGTCCTTGCTTTGCTTTGAGTATAGGGTAGAATCATTAAAAAAAAAAAAAAAAAAAAAAAAACGGGAGCTGATTCTTTGCAAAGTATTCTTTATAACTAATAGGAAACTTAATATTTTTATACCCACTACTTGTTTTTTTTTTTTTTTTTTTTGTTAAAACATTGAGAACTCTAACTGTTGGCTACTGTATTAGTTTTCATTGCTCTGGCCAACTTCCCCAGGAGAAGAAACCGAGGAGGAATGGCTGGTTTGGCTTACAGTGTAAGGAGGGTTTATAGTCCATGGCAATGAGGCATGCTGGTGGGCCAAGCCTGAGGCAGCTGGTCACATTGTATCTGCAGTCAGGAAGCCTGCCAGACACCAGATCTCAAGGCTAGCTCCAGAGACCCATTTGTTCCAGCAGGGTTCCTTCCTAAAGGCTCTGCAGCTGTCCCAAATAATCCCACCAGCTAGGGAGTCATGCTCAAACACGGTACTGGTGGGCTTGGGCAGGGCTGCCGTAGGACCATTATAGAAGGCGCAACACGCTCAGGCAAATGCTCGACTGCTGAACTATAACTCTACCCTTGATCCCTTTCTGAACTGATGCTTGTGTGGATGGCCTTCCTCCTTCCCCTCACCCTTTCTCTCTTTCTTTCTTTGGGGGAGGGGGAAGCGGAGTTTTGAGACAGGGTTTTTCTGTAACAGCCTTAGCTGTCCTAGGACTAGCTTTGTAGTCCTGGCTGGCCTTGAACTCAGAGGTCCACCTGCTCTGCCTCCTGAGTGCGCCGCCACTGCCTGGCTGATGTCATTTCTTAGGCTTTTAATAAATATCTTGCTGCAAATCTTTGTACTTTAGTCTTTTATTTTTAATTTTTTGAGGTAGTCTTTCAGTGTGTAGTCCTGACTGACCTGGAACCCACCTGCAGGCCCTTGCCTCCAGAGGGGTGGAATTAATGGCATGTGCCATCAGGCCAGGCCAATAACTGTTTTCTTCTGTGTAACAGTCCTTAAAAGTCCTTCTGATTAAGGAAGACCTGAAACTGATTTCCCTGTTTGCTCTTTTAGGAATGCTTTAAAGGAAGTTGGGCTACTCACAAGTTACTACATAAGAAAGCAAGTAAGTACCATTGCTTGTCCTTAAGCCCTTTGCCTTGGATGCAGCTTTTGTGCGAGTGTTAAGACTAGTCTTAGTTCTGAAACTGTAATTCTGACATCTGGGATTATTCTTTGGCATTATGTAGTAAAATGTCTATTTGCATCTGATTAATCTTGTTTCATGCATTTACTATGAAAACATGAGATCTTTGTTAGGGTAGGTGGATCTAGCTTGGCTAGTACCTCATAGTGTCTTTTGGCACCCTCTTGTCTTTTCTAGAAGTGTCACCATATTGTAGGCTGAGAATGGAGGGGCTGTTTGATTTTATTTGGCCAGATCTCTGTTGCTCTGTAGCTAATGATGGTTTTAAATCCCTTACCTCCCTGTTTTACCTCCCAAGTGCTTTATTATAGACATGTGTTACCATACCCTGTTGATTTTGGGGTGTCTTATATTACCCCACAAACTATTTACTGTTTTTTAGCCATTGTTAGTCACACTAGTATGGCTGTTATTTAGACAGCCTTTCTGCATCGGCTCCTCACCCTGTGAATGTAGCTGTCAGTGTGGCTGACCTGAGAAAGCCTGCCATGTTCCCTGGGAGTTGACAAGGATCTGCTGCATAAAGCATTGCCATCTGATGCATACCCACCATACAGATGGTGGGTAGTGTGTAGTTAGTAGCTGTAAACGTTCTGTCTTAATGATTTTGGTGCCTTGTACTCGTTTGCCTCTGTTTCCATGAGTTCATTGGTCTAATGAAGTTTGTTAGATTGCTTTACCAAAGCATCTGAGGTTAGCCAAGCCATCTTTGGAGGAAAAGGAATGCAATTTTAAAAAGATATTTTTTTTTGTGGTGGTATAAAGTGGTATCTGTGCTTAATGGGGGTGCTGGGTTATCCATGGAGGGGGATGCAGTCTGTGGGTGGGAAATACTGTAAGTGAAAGTTTCCAGCCGTAAAGGAAGAGATTTACTACTTTGGTTTGCTCCCTTGAGTGGGAGTGTACAGCTTGCAGGTCATGTATTTTGGGCCTTATATCTATGCTCGTTCACTGCCGGTGTCTTATGTGCACCTATTGCACTGTGGTTTTTGAAAAATAGTGTACACTATCCTTTGCTTTTACAGTTCTTTAAAAAGTTTTGCTGCCAGCCTCAGCTCATTTCAGGGTTATTAGAAATCTATTGCTTGTCTAACATTTGGGACTTGGATTAAATGGATCCTGGAATGTTAGCTTACTTAGATTTTCAGGTGTAAATTTCAGATGTGAATTCTGTGTAGAGATTAGAAAAGACTTGCTGTGTTTCAGCTTTGTTTGTCTTGGTAGCTTTAGTGTGTTTGTTTGAGGTCTGCCTTCAGTTCTCCTTTGGAAGTACTGTTTGTAGAAGGGCAGGAATGCGGATCAGCAGGGAGACTTGAAAGGCTTCCTTTCCTTTCCTTTCCTTTCCTTTCCTTTCCTTTCCTTTCCTTTCCTTTCCTTTCCTTTCCTTTCCTTTCCTTTTTCTTACTCCCTAGGAGTATGGTAAAGCAAAGCCTTTTGAATTTGTTTTGAGAGAGAATCATAATGTTTTTTTTTTTTTTAAATTTGCACTTACTGTTTTATGTGTATTTGTACATATATATGCATGAATTCATGCTACCAGTGTGGAAGGAAGTCAAGATATTTTGGGGGATTAGTTGCCTCCTTTAGTCACTGAGCCATCTGGAGAGCCCTGGAGTCTAGGGATGTAGCTCTCTGAATGACCTGAACTTAATGAGTGTCCTACCTTAGTCTCCCAGCTGCTCGAATGACAGGTGGGTACCCCTGTGCCCAGCAAAAGCCTGAATTTTGATTGCTCTATCCTAGGTTTAAAGAGATACATCCTGTTTCAGACAAACCACTTCATGCTAGCCTTACATGAAGCAAGCATCAGTTGTCATTTTGAAACTTTTAAAATAATACTTGAATCTAGTGACAGTGAATGGAGTCCATTTTTGTTTCAGGTTCAGAAGTAGTTTTGTATTGATAAAATCCTTCACTTAAAAGCTGTTGTTTGGGGGACTGGGGAGTTGGCTCAGTGGTTAAGAGCAATGACTGCTCTTCTAGAGGACCCAGGTTCAATCCCCAGTACCTACATGGCAGCTCAACTGTCTGTAACTCCAGTTCCAGGGGATATGGTACCCTAACACAGACATACATGTAGGTAAAATACCATTGCATATAAAAACAATCTTGGGGGGTAAAAAACAAAAAAAAAAAAAGCCATTGATTGGTTAAATTGGAATTTTTTTTTTTTTTTTTTTTTAATGTAAGTTTCCTGTGGGGTGATTTAGGATTACTGCTTTTAAGTAAGAGCAGAGAATTCAGCTGTGAAGTCCGAATTCAGATTGGAAGGTTTAGCTCATATTTGATATTTAAAGTTAAGTTCGTATGAGTTGACATTGTAGAGACCATACGTTTACCATTGGCTGCTGTTCTGTCTGAGACTGTGTACAGTCCCAGGCTGAGACAGAGTCGGAAGGTTTGTGAGCAGAGCAGTAAAACTGATGCTTTGTTAGCTTAAGTTGGGTTTTTGTGTCTGGGCTCTCTGCTCTGTATTCAGCTAAGTGAGAATTAAAGAATGCTGCTGCTCAGGAGCCTGATGACTGAAGCATCTCTTTCTTCTCTCCTTGCTTTCACATCTGTCCGTCTGTCTCCCAGAAGATGAAAAGGCAAAACGGGAAGTATGTTCCTGGACTGTAGAAGGCGATGTTAACACTGACCCTTGGGCGGGGTACCGGTACACCGGTAAACTGAGACCACATTATCCACTGGTGAGTATGTAAAATAATTACATTGTCTCTAAGCAGTTTTCAGTTTGCTTGTAAAGCAGGATTGTCTTCAGAAAGGAGCAGCAGACATTCTAGATCTCAGGATATATTATTTGGGACTAGTAGGACAAGGGCAATTGTGGAATAAGTGTATCAGATTTTAGATATAAAGACTAAAATGTCATACATTAAAAAAAAAAAATGGGATAAGCCAGCCTTCCCTCCCTCCCTCCCTTCTCCCTCTCTCTCCTCCCTGTTTTTCAAGACAGGGTTTCCCCATGTAGCTCTAGTTGTCCTGGAACTCACTCTATGGACTAGGCTGTCCTTGAACTCAAAGAGATCTGTCTGAATCTGTCTCCCAAGTGCTGGGATTAAAGGCATCCACCTCCTCCACCTGTTGGGATAAATATTCTTGTGGCTGTCATGAGAGAGTAGTGTATGATACTACTTTTCTATGAGTTTTTAATGTGACATATTGTAACCTAATGACGGTGGCTTAAGTACCACTCCAGTCCCTTCCTGTAGGGAAATTCATGCATGAATATAATGTGTTTTGATCACACTCACCCACAGCTCATTCTCCTGTCTAATTCCTTCACTGCATTTCCTAAACTGAGCCATTTCTCCAGCCTCATATCCAATCCTAAAGCATGGGTACCTTTAGCTGCTCTCCTTTCTCAAACATGTTTGACACTGACATAGAAGAAAGTAAGCTTAGCTTCAGTGACTGAAATGGGAATCTTACAATATTAACATGTCAACAAAAATTAACTTCTGAAAACTTTTGCTTGAACTTCACTCTTCAGGCTTCTTCCCAGGCTTCTTGTTACTAGTTAATAGGTGTCGGACTGATCTCGTTACTGTTTTCAGATGCCCACAAGGCCAGTGCCCAGTTACATTCAGAGGCCAGACTACGCTGACCATCCCTTAGGTAAGTCCTGCTTACCTGTTTGTGCATTTTTCCCTTTGTGGGATTGATTATCACTGCAAAGGAAGGAATGCTCTTTTTATAGAGTTTTCAGTGCTGGGCATGTAATGTAAACTTACTTTTTTAAAGCCACGTTTAGATGAAGATTTTTTTTTCTCCCATTAGGAATCTCTCCAGTTCTGAAAACTGCTTATGTGGCTGTTAAAGTCTACATTCAGAAAAAACACTGTGTTTTGTGTTATAAATGATGGGAGGGAAAGGTTTTGATTTTCTTTTTTGCAAAAGTAGATTGCGAAGGCCTGAGTGAGTGGTCACTCAAGACTGGCTGTAGTCTTAGTAGGAGTAGTAGTGGTAGTGTGCTAGTGGTGGTTTTGATGAGCCCGACTGTGGTGATGCTTTAATAGTAATTATGTTTATTTTTGCTTAACTATGTGTCAGGCACTGTGCTAAGTTCTTTGCACGTGTTACTCCATTTAATACTTTGAACACTTCTGAGGTAGGTTCTGTTGTCTTCTCTGTTTTATAGATAATGATAGTGAGACATGCAGACAAGATGAGTAATTTGCCACACAGGTCAGTGGACTTAGTCTCTGACCTTTGAACTTGTATAGTATTTAGGTTGCAGTAGGTATTGACTGGTTTTGCATATCAGAAATAAGAAATGATAAATACCAGAGATTTTAAAATATTATTTCTGTGTTTATTTATAAATTTAAAACATTTAAAATGTTTTGGTGTTGACATGATCTAATTACCTAGTTCAAGCTGAGCTCCTGTCTTAGGAGTTGTCCTGTCTCAGCCTTCAGAGTGTGGGATTCTGTGTCTGCTGCCCCTATGGACAGTTGTACAGCTGAATATAATCTGAGATAGCTGCTTTTCTCTTAATATGCACAGGGTCATAGTATCATGTTTTTATATGTAGTTTTAAAATTTAGCTAAATCCATTGTGAATAAATTTAAGGAAAAGACAGTATGAGTGATTGATACTGTGGAAGCATAGCATGTAATTCCTTTAGTCTCTTTTGAATGTAGTATTAACTTCTATTTTAAGAAATAAACATAACTTTTTAATAGAGTAGAATGATGCAGTGGAAAGAAGCCTGGCTCTATCAAGGTTTAAGATCATTCTCAAGATATTCTGTGGCTACACATTAGACCCAGTGCTGGTTTACATACAGATGAACACACCACATATACCTTTCCAGCTTTTTGTTTCTCTTAATATGTTATTATCTTAGAAATATTCTATATGAGCTCATGTAAGTTCTCCAGTTCTATAATTTTAATTTCATTGTGTGGGTGTATCGTAATTATCAACCAGGCCTCTACTAATACATGGTTAGATTAGGTTATTTACAGGGTTTTGCTTCTGTGAATTTGATTGTAGTTTCTATTCTTGTATTTTCATCTTTTTCCCCAATTAAGAGGTTTTTTTGTTTTTGGTTTTTTTTTTTTTTAGATTAATTGTCTAAAGTAATGGTTTGGATCAAAGGATTTATACATTTTTATTTTGCAATACTAGAAATTTCAGAGCGTTTTACCATAAAAAAAAACATGAGTGAGCTGGGCTCTGGTGGCACACACTTTTAATCCCTGCACTCTGGAGGCAGAGGCAGCCGAATCTCTGTGAGTTCCAGGCTAGCCTCGTCTACAGATTGAGTTCCAGGACAGGCTACAAAGCTACACAGGGAAACCCTGTCTTGAAAAACAGAAACAAAACCTTCAAATACAAACAAGTAAGCAAACAGCAAAAAATAGAACATGAGCATGCCTGCTCTGACAGAACATACACTAAAATTTGAACGATACCTGTGCAAGGGTGGCACACAGCCTCATGGAGTGGTCCAAAATTTAAAAGAAAACCTGTAACTTAGCTTCTCTTCGGTTGTCACCAGCATTGTTTGTTATCAGTACTGCTTGCATGCTCTTCATGCATTTCAAAGGTTGAGAAATTGTACATTCCTATTTTAGCTTGCACTTTTAAATTATAAAGTTTGACATCTTGTTATGTATTACAAATTGTATTTTCTTTCCTTTTGAATGTCTGTTCATATTCTTAACCTCTTTCCCCATCAGACTATTAGATTTTCTTCCAAAATTGATTCCTAAAATGCTCTTTGTATACTAACATTCTGAATTATGTTTTTTCCTCAGCTGAACACTAATCTTTTGTCCATATATTATGACAGACTTTCAGCATTTGTATATAGTATGAATATGTGTCTTGTATTATTATATTGAGTCTCATGTCTTTGGTTCAGTGTCTGACCTGTTTGTCTAGTCACACGCCATTGACAAACTTAGCCATTGGAAATGTTTCTGTATTTGTAGGCCTTGTTGTTGTCACCTTTGCTTCTTTTCAGAAATTTCCTGGGTATTCTTGCCTGTTTCTCTTTCTGTATTCAGTTTATAATGAGTTTGTCTTGATTCCCAAAATATCTTGATGGTATTGTTTGTTGAGACAAAACTCAATGTACAGATGAATTTTGGAAGAATTGATACCTAGATAGTACTAAGACTTCTATCCAAAAATAGGATTATTTTTCTGTAGTATTACTCTCCTTTCAGGGTTTCTTTTTGAAGGTCTTTTATTGTTACATTTGTTCTGGGTACTTTATTGTTTAGTAGTTTAGCTTGTTTGTATTATAGTAGGTAGAGTTTTTGATTTTGACATCTTAACTGCTAACTTGCTAAATTCTTATTTTCATTCACTCATCAGACGATTCTTTTATTCTGTGGCTATGTAATATCTGAAATTGATAAAGCTTTTATCCTTCCCTTTAAATTTTATGTTTTTACCTGGCTGTGGTGGCGCTCGCCTTAAATCCCAGCACTCGGGAGGCAGAGGCAGGTGGATCTCTGTGAGTTTGAGGCTAGCCTGGTCTACAGAGCTAGTTTCAGGATAGCATCCAAAGCAATACAGAGAAACTCTGTCTCGAAAAACAAACAAACAAAAAAACCAAATAAAACATTTTTATGTTTTCTTTCTTTCACTTGTATCTGCAAGCATTGCGGGAATAGTTGTGCCAGTTAATACTCATTCTGTGATGTTCATTGTTTGATTTGAGATTTATATCTTAAGGTGGTTGCTGCCTATACTATGAGGATTATCTTTCTGGACAGTCTTTTCTAATATTGAATTAATAACCCTGTCTTCTGATACGACTCTTTTCTTAATTTATGGTAATGAAAAAATTTTTTAGCGGGCTGGCGAGAGCTCAGTACTTCCTGTCCTTCACGAGGACCCAGCTGCCTGTAAGTCCTGCTCCAGGCGTCCACTACCCTGACCTCCACTTACCAGCACACACATATACATAAAAAACTGCAAAACTGTTTGTTTGGGCATTTTCCAGTTCAGAAATGGAAAACAGGATTGATGGAGAATTTGTTACATTTTTCCTCCAAGATTTTGAAATTGACTGTTTCTTTTAGTATATGTAAAAGTTGAATTAGACTAATTTCATTAATGAAGATTATTTGGGTAGTATTTCCCAAACTTACAATTATGACCCTGAGTGAGAAATGTTTTTATGGCATGATCTGTGTGCATACAAGTAATAAGCAGGTATTTCACAGTAGTATTTATCTGGGACTTCAGAATACAGAACATGGTACTTTCTACTCCTTTTCCCTTTTCCGATGGTTGTTAAAATAAAGCCTAGTGAAAACCTCATAAACCAGTCTGGACAGATGACTCAGCCATTAAGAGCATTGGATGCTCTTCTAGAGGACCCAGGTTCAATTCCCAGCACCCTCCTGATGGCTCACATCCTGCTGTAACTTCAGTTCCGGGGGACCAGATGCCCTTTTCTGGCCTCCAAGGCCACAAGGCGTGCAGGCAGAGTACCTGTACACTGGAAGCTTTAACAGCAAAACAAAACAGACCTAACCCAAGAAAAAGTCGTAAGCTGTCGTTTGAGTAACAGTGACTTAGGTTGTGCTTTTAGAATAGTATGGTAGTTGATTAGTTGCTGGTGTGTAGATGCTTCATGACATGGCCATAAAAGCAGTTTGTAAGTTGTGCTATACTTGTCAAAACCCATAGTTTAGTGAATCTGAGTACAATGCCTGGCTAACATTTACTGGTTCCTAGTAGAAGTTTTAGAAATAGTTTCTTTACAGCTTCCTTTATTTCCTTTTTGTGTTGGAAATATTAAAAAAGTAAACTAGCTTGACTCCTCTCCATGTGAAGTAGTGTTGTGTGGTCCATAAGGAGAATCAGCTGTTAACTGAGTTAACTGAGTCGTCAGTGTAATGCTGTGCTGAGTTCTTTCTGTTTGTTGTGGTTTTACTGACTCTTTTTCCATTCCAGGAATGTCTGAATCTGAACAGGCTCTTAAAGGTACTTCTCAAATTAAACTACTCTCAACTGAAGATATAGAAGGGATGCGACTTGTGTGTAGGGTAAGTCGTTGTCCCTTCATGGGTAGAACAGGGTTAAGAGTTCAGATAGGGCATCTGTGATTTGTGGTTTATAAAGCTGTAAGAATGTTACAATGTGAACTGTCAATAGCCATCCCGTAACCTACTTTCAAAACATTTTTTTATACTTAAATCATCTGTTTGAGAATAAAACTAAGAGTGATTCATCCGTAGTTGCCATTTTCTGTGATCAGCTTTGTATTGTTCATTTATTTACATAAACATATTTACTGAATTGGTTTTTGGAGACAGGGTTTCCCTGTGTAGCTTTGGAGGCTGTCCTGGAACTTGCGCATGTAGACCAGGCTGGTCTTGAACTCACAGAGGTCCGCCTGCCTCTGCCTCCCAAGTGCTGGAACTAAATGTGTGCACCACTACCGCCCAGCTCAAATGATTTTACTTGACTGATGTTTTTCATAAAACAAAGAGTGCAGAGTATCTGTTTTTATTTCTTCTTAAATGTACTTATTTTTCAGCTTGCTAGAGAAGTATTGGATATTGCTGCTGGGATGATCAAAGCAGGTGTGACTACTGAAGAAATTGATCACGCTGTACACTTAGTAAGAGCTTTCCTTTTTTATTTTAGAAGTTTCAAATTATTAGACTTTTTACTTCATTTTATAATGTTCAAAATATTTTATTAATTTGAAAGCTTACTTTTGCATTGTTTCAAATATGGGAAGCATTCCATAGCTATTACAATGCCTACAGATCTTGGGCATTCAGCCATTTCTCAAGCAGCAATTGAAAATATTTGGGAAAAATAACTTATATTTGAACAGACATGTTTGTGTTCTTTTACTCCTTGCTACTATTAATGTAAATATGGAGTATTTACAGTGTAATGTAAGTAATACAGTAATGGTTTAAAGTATACGGGAGGATGTGGATAGCATATATGCAGTTGTTACACTGTACAGGAGACTTGAGTGTCTGCAGTTTGGTAGCCAGCCAGGTGTTAAGGTACCAAGTCCTCCACAGATACTTAGGCATGCCTATGTATGTGATGCTGAAATCGAAGGGTGCTTGAGACATGTTATTCTGAAATCTGAACCTTTTATCAGCTTTTATAGCATTGCTTATCCAGTGCTTATAATAAACCATACCACTACATATGCCAGCTGCTCTGAAATACAGACCAAATTGCAGAAACTAGACCAGAAATCAGTTTCCTTTCATACACACAGGAAAAAGACAATACACAGATGAGCTAGGAGGATCCTGTCTTAGTCAGTGTTGTGTTGCTGTGATGAGATGCCATGCCATGACCACAGTAGCTCTTACAAAGGAAGCATTTATTTTGGCCTTGCTTACAGTTTCAAAGGGAAGTTCATTACTATCATGGCAGGGAGGGAGGCGGCAGGCAGGTAGGGGGAGGAAGAGCCCACTCCTTTGATACACTTTGTCTAACAAGGCCATACCTTCTGCCAGAGTTCAGCCCCTGGTGACTAAGCATTCAAATATATGAGCTTGTGAGTCTTATTGAAACCACAGCATATCTTAAAAAAAAAAAAAAAAATCTTATTAACAAGGCAATAAACAGATTAGATAAAATTTGTAGTATATATGTGACATAGTAATATCTTTTTGTTTTAAAATAAAGATTGCTTGTTAGAGTCTTTTAGATGTAGACTAGTTACACATTGTATGTCTCAGTTGTTAAACAGTTGTAACGCATGGACAGTGGGTTTTAACGATTTCTCCCAATCAGCCATTACTTTTGAGGTGGGGATGAAGCTGACATTCCATAGTGTTATAGTCATGATGTTATTATAAATGGTGACTACCTTCCTGGAAGAACTTGACTATATGCCTTGAGTTTATGAAAATGTTTTAAAAATTAAAAAAAAAAAGAACCCATTGTTTAGTTTGTGTGGGGTAGGATTTGTGTGTGTTTGTGTGTGTGTGAGAGAAAAAAGCTTGTGAAAATCAGTTCTTTTTTACCATGTGGTTCATGAGGGTGGAACTCAGGTTGTCAGGCTGGTGGGAAATGTCTCTACCCTCTGAACCATTATGCTGGCCTTGTAGGTCTTTTATTTAGACTTACATGAATTTTGGTTGGGAGTATTGTATGTGTTAGTATGTCACAGGTAGGCATTTGAGTACTTCCCAGGGCCAGGGCTCTTGAAGGTATCTTCATAGTCACTCATTTGCCATCACCAGCATCCTCTGGAGGTGGGTGAGTAGGTGCTGCTGCCACTTCCATTTTATAGGGACTGAGGGGAAGAGGTGTTAGATTATTCAAGTGGTGAAGCTGGCCATCTACTCAGGGATAGAAACTGACATGGTAACTGCAGAGTACATCCACGTCAGGGAAGTGCCGGAAGGATGTAGTTATTTTCTCTGAACAGTATTTTCTGTCTCAGGGAACTTCAGGTTATTTGCAGAGCTCTAGAAGTAATGGAGTCTCTCGTAAAATTATGAACTATTGCACGAACAGTATCTTGTGCAGCCATTAGAGATGTGTGAAACTGAAAACCACTGCACTGTGTGGATACAGAGTCTACAGCACTCTGATTATCATGTGTAAGATTCACACAGTGTTTTCTAGTTCCACAGAATTCATTTCAAAAGCGATCATCAAATTTCACAGGAAGTACTTTACCACTTCTTAATTGTACATATATTCATTTTCTTGTTATAGGGATGGAGTTGGCCTTAATGTAAGAGGGAATTATTAAAAATGTGTTATTTTTACGGAATATGTTTCCCAAGTAGTGGTTAAGTCAGAGTCTTTATATGATGACACTTTTTTGTATTATGTGAATTTGCTTCTCCTTTACATGGAGACCAGCAAACTGGTTTGCATACAGTATATTTAATTGCCATATAGCATATTAGACACTGGGCAAGATAATATCTACTGCCCTGGCATGGTGTCATTGTATGTCTGAGTACCAGTTTCTTTCCTGTGAATTCTAAGAAAAGCCTGGGTGTGTGTTTGCTTGTGCACATTTATGTATACATACACACACACCCATCACTATTTTAAAGTAAAATAAGATTAGTTCTTATACTAGCATCTGTGATAAAATTCTTATGATTTTATGATCTGATTAATTATATACAGATTTTTTTTCCTTTTGTACACTCCAAATGATTTTCTCTATATTTTAATTTACTGTAGGCATGCATTGCAAGAAATTGCTATCCTTCTCCCCTGAATTACTATAATTTCCCAAAGTCTTGTTGTACCTCAGTGAATGAAGTCATCTGCCATGGGATTCCAGACAGACGGCCTTTGCAAGAAGGCGATATTGTTAATGGTAAGAAATATTTGTGACATTTCATTGTGAGTAAAGAAACAAGTTTTGGGAGTCGGTTAGGTTGTTTCTGTTTCTTGACTTGTTTTTTTCCACTATTTAAAACTCAGCGTCACTCAAAATTGAAGGAACCCCACTTTGTTTTTTATTTTGAGACAAAGTCTCTTTTTAGAGCCCTATCTCTTCTAGAACTCACCATGTAGATCAGGCTGGCCCTGAACTCACAAAATTCTGCCTGTCCCTGCCTCTCAGTGCTAGTGGATTTCCTGCCACCACACATGGCAGGAAATCCATTTTTATTGATTGTATGTTGCCTTCAGCATACATCTAAAATTATATGTTCTATACAATCTGTATTTCTTCAGTGTATTTCATATGTGATTGGTAAGTAGGCAAAGGATGACAGTGCAGAAGTAATATTGTATCTATTATATAATTTTTCCTCTACCAAAATTTACTAATGGTTATGAAGAGGTCAGGGTAGGTTTTCAGGAGAGATTTCAGAGAAACCCTTAGTTGTAATTTATAAAGTCCTTATAAAGGGAAAACCTGCAGAAGTGCCTTTTTAAAATGGAGTGGCTTTGGACTCCCATACTCTGCTGTCTTGGAAACACTGCATGTCTTGAGCTGCAATAACATTTCCCTTTGGGATTGAAAGTATCAGTGAAGAAAGTTCCCTAGAGAAAAGTAATCGGCAGTCTTACCCACTGTGAACTCCAGTGACAACTGGCTTGGCAAAAGATGACCCCGGTGCCATCATAACATGGAAGTTATGGGGATAACCAGCTACTTTTTGATTTGGTTTAAGAAACTCATGGGTCAAGCCGTAATTGGCTAAGTCATAGGCTCCAGGGGACAACAGGGTACTACCATTCTGTTAAATGAACACAGCATTAAAGGGCACCCTAGGTTTTTACCTTTATACCCACAGGTTAGTACAGCTCTCAACTTTGACCAGAGAACCTCCTTTTTGTAGTAGATGGGTTAATAATAGAGAGACTCATTTGTAGCCAATATGCAGTGAAACAAGAGAGACGTGTGCTTAGCTCTACGTGGAACATCTCTATCACACCCTCATCCCCTCACCCTACCCCTGCCCAGACTCAGGGACCATGTTAGAAGAGGGCAGAAAGAGCCTGAGAGTCAAGTCTGTAGACATCTGCAGGGAAACAGTGTTTCCTGGACACGACAGCCTTGGGCACAGGAATTTACAGCACCTGTAACTGAACACGCGACTTTTGCCTGCCAAAATTTAAGCATTGGGTGGAGTGCGGAGGGCTCGTGAAGTCCTAACCCTTAGCTGAGACGCAGCTGTGGTTTGTGAGGCGGGGAGGGTCAGGAATGGTCTGACTGCAGGAGGTGTCCTACACCTATGTGCATATAGGTAGCACTAAGAGGACTTGGGAGTGTTTAAAACTAACACATAAAGTTGGGAATGGAAGAATGGAAGGAATAGGGGGTGGATTTGGTCACAATGCATTATATTCATATATTAACTTCTCAAACAATAAAAATTAAAAAATGGTAGGCTTCCCTAGATATAGTCATGTGCATGTATTATATATGCATAAAATTCAACTTATACACTGCAATGTCTAATGTAAAGTTTGCGTTTGTATGAGTGTGTTCGTGTATGAGTGTGTGCATACTTGTGTGGACACCAGAGGTTAACTTCAGTGTTTTCCTCTGTCACTGTCCCCTTATTTTTGATGGCTCTCACTAATCTGGAACTTACCGTTTAACTAGACTAGCTGGCCAGTGCATCCCCAGGATCCTCCTGTGTCTGCTCTCCCAGGGCTGGGCTCACAGGCATGTGTTCCACACCTGACTTTATTTACTAAGAGATCACTTTATCCATCGGTCTCTAAAGGCCTCTATAGGGCATTTTTTTAATTACTAATTGAAATTAGTCTTTCTAGTGTCCAGAGAAGCAAAAGTCAAATTAGAGACGACAGATAGAAGATATTAAATATAATATTGTCTTTATTATAGTTGTTTCTGACTTTTTAAAGGTTGTTTATAGACATAAGTTCCGAGTTCAGCCCTGATACTCATACAATATTTAATTATTGTTATTATTTGCAACAGGGTCTCACTATGTAGCTCTCCCTGGTCTTGAACTCATAGAGTCCCTCTGCCTCCCGGGTGTGAGAGTAAAGACATGTACCACCACACCTGGCTAAACCTTATTCTTTTTGTTATGTGCACAGCATATGGCGTTTTTGAGGAATGAATTGTCTACTCTGCAGTGTTGTTAGCTCCTCAAAATCTGTAGTGTGAAGATACTCATTTAGTGTGTTCTCTAGAGAGACGTGTAGTTTATTGTAGTGACACAGTAGTAATCTTTTAAGTCCGGGATGAAGACGGGCAAGTACTTACAGATGGAAGAAAGACCAGTGGGATTTTGAGATTGGCTTTGCCCCCTTGTGTCCCAGGAAGAGTGAGCTAAGATAACTGGGAATGTCTGTTTAATTTCAGAACTTGGATGCAGTCGTCAGTTCAGTGTCCGCACCTGGTTAGTTATCTTACACAGCTGTCCTCTATGTAATGTTTCTTCTGTCACAGCGGATCTCATTACTAGCGTAAAAGCTCACCACTGCCTTATGCTGCACAGCCATGCTGTTGTTCCGTACAGTGAGCTCAGTCGAGTTTCCCTTGAGGGTTTCCTGTAGGCAGCACTCACTGAGAGTGCGGGCAGATCCTTTTCATTGGCTTACCTTTGCCCTTTTTCCTTCCAGTGGACATCACTCTTTATCGAAATGGTTATCATGGGGATCTAAATGAGACCTTTTTCGTTGGAGATGTGGATGAAGGAGCACGGAAACTTGTTCAGACTACGTATGAATGCCTGATGCAAGCCATTGATGCAGGTCAGCCTCAGCCATGCACCACACACCACACATCACCAGCGTGCAGTGTACTTCCATTTCATTTATTTACTCACTGTGTTTGAGGCAGGTTCCACTGTGTAACAGGCCTGGCTGTCCTGGAACTCCCGCCTGCCTCTGCCTCCTGAGTGCTGGGATTAAAGTGTGTGCCACCACTGCCCGGCTGCTCTTTTAGTTTCTTAATATTAGGGTTTTATAGCTGTTATCCTGGACATTGATGGTTTCCTGCTATTACAGTGTTACTATAAGTACATTTCTCTAAGATCCTTTTCAGCCTGTCTTAGGCCTTTTTTATGTTATTTATGGGAATGGCAGAACAGGAAGGGCTTGTGGTTGAGACTACCAATAAAAGGATAGTTTGAGAGCAATTTTCCAGAAAGTTCCACAGCCTTTGAATTTTTACATTCACCGTGTTGTCCTCATCACACTAGATTCCCATCAAAGCCCTGACATGTTATCAGCAGAGTATTGAACAGGGGTGGGGGGGTTCTTTTCTTTGTTTTTTATTTTTTCTAGACAGGGTTTCTCTGTCTAGCAGCCCTAGCTGTCCTGGAACTATCTCTGTAGCTCAGGCTGGCCTCGAACTCAGAGATTATCCTGCCTCTTCTGGGATTAAAGGTGTGTGCCACCATCACCCAGCCAGAGTGGAATTCTTTAGCAAATGCATGGTTAAGTCTAATAAGATTGATCTATTTTTTATTGTTTTTAGTATGCTGTTTGAGAGAGCTCTTTTTGATTTACATAAAGGCTGCATGGGTTAAAGTGAAAATGATAAGTTATTAGTGTGGGAAGTCCTCCCTACCCAAATGTAGTTACTGTTAAATAAAATCTTGAAAATTTTAGGTGGTTATTACAGTAAGATAACAACTTTAGTGTTCTCACTTTTGTGAGCTTCAGTTTTCTATTATTTTTAAGGTTTTTACCCAAATAGTTTGTGTAGTGTTTCTGTCGTTTGCCTGTATGACATGATTGACCTAGCCAGACGTATGGAGTGCTGTACAGCGACATTTGGCAAGGAGTGACCAGAAGCTGACCACCATAGCAGTAGTCAGGAAAGAAGCAAGGTGTTGAGTCTGTAGGTGGGTGCTACACCTGTAAAATGCAGCGTTGCTGCTTGCCTTGGCAGCACAAGCTGAAATGCTAGAGAAGATACACAAGATCTTAATACACAAATGTAGGAAATGTTCCACATTTTAAAGAAAAATCCAACAATGTTTGTAACAACCTCCCTCCCCAGTGTGGAGTATTGAAAGCTTGAATGATTATTAAAATTATTTCTAGAGTAGAAGTCTTGGTTGTATCTGTTAATGGCACTGTGAGTCTGGTAATACTTTATTTCATTTCAAGAAGTTTAACTGTATCTTTGGTGCCTACCCATTGGGTGCCATCTATCAGCCCTCTTCCCTTATGAAACAAAAATGTTTCCAGAGAAGGCTCTTGGGATCAAGGTTGTCACCAGTTGTATATTTGGGGGAAGAATCCTTGCTTCCTCTGCCATTATTGTTGAATAAGGATTTCTTTCATTATTTTTTCATTGTGGCTTAAAATTTGGTTGTATTTCCACCACCTCCCTAAGACTGATAAGCTCTGGGTGGGATTGAAAAAAAATTACTGGAAAATGTAGCATGAATAATAAAAATCCAGAGACAGATATTGGGGTTCAAGCTGAAGATTAGAAAAGCAAAGCAGCCACTAGAGATTTCTTACCTCTACCAATGTTCCCTGTCCTCAGCATGACTGCAGAGTGATCGACTCCTGTCTCCCCCTCCTTCTAGTCCTCTCTCGTGCTGGGATTAAAGGTGTGCACCACCGCCGCCAGCCTCTATGGCTGGGATTAAAGGTGTCTGCCCCCACTGCCTGGCTTTTGTGGCTGACTAGTGTGCCAAGCTTTAGATCATAAACAAAATATCACCACAGGAAAAGTTATTGTGGTGGTTCCTCAAAACTCAGAAATGTTGACTAAAATACCAGCTGGTTACTCAGACCTTTAATATACGGGGAAGAAATGTATCCTTTAGGGGAAGTTTTATGGAAACCGAGATGGGGTAGCTCACTGAAGAAGAGTGAAGACCCACTTCTAAACCAGGTCTTTGAGGTGGGAAGATCACCTTTAGTCTGGCAGCCTATGTGAAACGGAAGAGGGAAGCTTGCTCTCTTCCTACTTGTTCTCACCGTTTCTGGCAAGTTGGTTCCTTCACTGGCATTAGAGCCTCCTACCTTGGGATTCTGGTGTATACGGAAGCCCAATTGAGATGTCCAGCCTCGTGAACTGAACGACCAACCCTTTGTTGGTGACAGTCATTGTTGGACTAGCTGGACCACAACTTGTTAACTGTTCTAATAACAGGGAAAGAGGGTTAGAACAATGTGTTTTTCATTCTGTTGTAATGTTCTTAGGGAAAACAAATGGTGCCTCTTTGATCCCTTGGTGTTCTGCGTGGTGGTCTCCCCTTTTTTGCATTCAAGGAAGTGCTCCTGTTTTTGAGTCAGTCGCTGGCTCTCTGGATTTCCCTGTGCCTTCGTTTCCTCCTATGAATGTTCAGGCATGAAGGCACAGTGTTTACAGAGGTCCTTGCAAGGAAACCAACTGCTTTAAGTGCTATTGTTCCTCATGGTTTTTTCTTCTTTCAGTGAAGCCTGGTGTTCGATACAGAGAACTGGGAAATATCATTCAGAAACATGCCCAAGCAAATGGATTCTCAGTTGTTCGAAGCTATTGTGGACATGGAATCCACAAACTTTTCCATACAGCTCCCAATGTACCACATTACGCCAGTGAGTACTGTCCAAATACTTGGCTATTTCTGTTTATGAACAAATGACTCAAGTATAAGTCAGGACCTCCTATTTTGTATTTACTGAAGTATAATACTCAATGTATTAGTTATGAGTACACCCCCTTTCCTCCCAGTTTTACCTGTTCAAACACAAGTCATATTGAAATCTTTCTCACATGATAGTCTGTAGGAGGTATGTGGCCATGAATAGGTGATCCAGGCTCTGCTATCTTCAGCCCATTTTTTCAGGTCACCTTGAGATCGTTTCTTAGTCAGCCGGTAATGTGTCGGGGGAGATGCTTGGAAGCGTGAGCTTGGGAGTTTTAGTCTACCAGCTGGGGATTGGCGTAAATTACCTATATATTTTCTTCAGCTTGTAGGAGTTCAGTGACTTAATTATGTCTAACGGCAAGGGAGACGTCAATGTAATCTACTGAGTCCTCTTGGAGAAACAAATGGATTGTGGCGATCAGTGCATAGCTTGCTGTCATCCTTTTGGTTCCCTAGGTGAAATCATTTCATCTTCATGTGGAGTTCTTTGTGTATTATTTATTGGTTTAATAAAGAGAATAAGATATTTATTAGAAGCAAAGGAAGTCTAAGACATTGTATTCCAGAGGTCTCTCCTCTGGAAGATTAGCCTTTAGCAGGAGTGCATGTGTTACTTAGTGTTAGAAGTGATAGCTGCCCGTGAAAGTGAGCGACAAGAAGGAATTTGATACACATGACTGTATGCACTTAGACACATTTCTTCCTCTTTCTCTGTTTCTGAACTTTTATGTAAATACTCAGTAATGTCTTTGTGCTAATTTTTCTCACCCTACAGTAGTTGGGAATGGTGATATATATTCAGGAGTTGTTGATTCCTGGGGCACTTGGAGTTCTGCCTGACATTCATACATGAAAAGTGACCTGATGGTTTAAAATGGTAGGGAAGCTAGTGTGGTGCTGAGGTACAGCATCCTGGGTGTCACTTGCAGACCACATCATTCTGTGAGTTGTGATGTTAGGAAAGAAAAGACACGGACATTAGAAAACATGTAGCAGCTTTATTCGTATAAACCCTGAAGTAACTCTAGTGCCCGCGCCATTCACGAAACTGACACGCTGATCTCAGCACCAGGGCCATGTGTGCTAGAGACTGCAGAGGGGGAGTGAGAGTCTTTCCAAGTGCAGAGGCAGCAAAACACGCTGGTTTAAGTGTGCATAAGTAAGTGAGGCTGAAGAAGTAACATTTGTGGGAGGGGAGTCTGTGTTTCATATTAAAGCATTTACTTAACTGTCAGAAAGGAAACATGGTGGAGTCGTGGCTCAGTGGTTATGAGCACTGTCTGTTCTTCCAGAGGACCAGGCCAGGATTTCCTGCACCCACACGACAGTTTATTAGCTCTATAATTCTAGGACCAGGGAATTTGATGCTGTCTTCTGGCTTCTGCAAGCACAGACATACATGTAGGCAAAATACCTGTATACATAAAAATGAAAATTATAAAACAAAATAAAAAGCCAGGTGGTGGGTGGTGCATGCCTTTAATCCCAGCATTCAGGAGGCAGAAGCAGGAGGAGCTCAGGGAGTTCAAGGCCAGCCTGGTATACAGAGCAAGTTCCAGGAAAGGTTCCAAAGCTATAGGAAAAAAAAAAGTTAAAAAATTAAGAAAGAAAACGGAGGCAAGTCATTGTCCACATTTGTGTTTCTGAGTCATTCGTGACAGAAGTCATGGTGACAATACCCGAGTTTACACGTCCACTCGAGTTACTGTAATGATGAGTTTTATTTTATTTACTTTTTGGAGACAGGGTCTCACTTACAGCCCTGGCTGTTTTGGAACTTACTTTGTAGATCCGGGTGGCCTTGAATTCAGAGATCATCTGCTCCTGCCCTCTACACCCCGCTCAGGGTTTGCATACAGTGATGTTGCCCCTCAGATAACCCGTGCTTGTGGAGTGAGTTGTTAGCGAAATGAACACATTCTAAGGCATGAGTAGGAGGAGTTACAGTTCTTTCAAATGAACAATGGGTGAGTGGACGGGAAGATTTTCTATATTAGCTCTATATTAGTTCAGTAGCTTGTCATCTGAGTGCTTTAATTGCTTCCGGTAGCTGCATTGTAATCAGTGGGATTTAATGCTCTACCCTTTGAATCCGTTATACTTCATATACCCCAATATTTAATCAGTGTAAAGTTTCAGTTTTTAGTTTGGCAGTGTGTTGCCTGTTTTTTTTTTTTTTTTTTTTTCATTAAAAACTCATCTCCATTGCTGTGGTGGCTTCAGAGGGCACAGCCCTAGATCCCTTCATGTTCTCTGTGACACCATACAAGGACTCTTAGCATTTTCTCTCTGGTAGATCCAGGGCACCCACTCCCTGTAAATCAGAAGTTGCAGGCCATTTAGAGAGAAAGTTCATGATATTGGAAAAGAAAAACCTCTTACAGTTCTTAGTTGATTTCTGTTTCCAAGGGTTCCCATGAGTTTAAGAACAGGATTTGTTGTGAGTGCACTTTGGGAAGCCCAATAGTGGTCAAGCAGTGTAGCTGGCTGTATACCAGGAGGGGCTGGAATAGAAGTGTGAGGGCGAGGCGCCATCACACCTAAGCAGTAGCTTGCCCACCCAGCAGGAGTAGGTATAGGAAGAGAACCTTGGAGTGGCTGACGTGTGTGCCCTCTGGTGGCCATCCTGAGTAAATGCCATGCTCCTTTACCTGATTTGTAACTTTTATGGTTTAAATTTTTAGATTTAAAACTGCTCCATATATTGGTTAGGATCTTCTGACAAGACTGTTTGTAGTTTTAAACTCTGGTTTTGGAGACAAAGCAAAGCAAGAGTGGTTTTTTTGTTTTTTTTTTGGTTGTTTTTCGAGACAGGGTTTCCCTGTGACTTTGGAAGGTGTCCTGGAACTAGCTCAGTAGACCAGGCTGGCATTGAACTCAAAGGAATCCGCTGGGATTTAAGGTGTGTGCCACCAGCGCCAGGCAAGACTGGGCATTCTTAATCATGCCTCATGGTGGTCCTGAAAAATACTATTTGTGAACTTGACAAAGGGGCCAAAGGAAGTATTTGGAGTGTGAAATGCAATTTGTTTTCAGATAGAAATAAATGTCTTCTCATTATTTAAAAAATTGCCTCCTATGCAGTTTTACTTCCATTTGAGAGATGAAAGATTACTTACAAACCTTTCTGAAAGTTGTGTATTAGTGTGTTCTGTTATATAAATATACTCTGCTTCCTCAGAGAAGCGAGAGGCTTCTGCTATATGACATGTCGCTCAAACTCCCATACTTATGGAGTTCTGGGAATTATTATGTGCTTATTATGTGCTCCACCACACTCAGCAGTCATTGCCTTTTCTAATCTGTATTAACATAAAGACTGCTTTTCCACAATGGTGATTGTATCTGCAGCCGAGCCTGTAGCTATCCCTGTATTTTAAGCATAAGCCTGGAATAAAATCTGCCCACAGACAGATGGTTACTGGCGATGGCCTCTTTGCTGAATTGCAGACTGGGAGAACTGGGAGAGTCATGAAGGGGAACTGCCGGAAATGTCGGTCCCTGCGAGCTGTTCAGTTCAGTGCTGTTGGGTTGTGGTGTCTCTTGAGACTTTCTTTTAATTTCAGAAAATAAGGCGGTTGGCGTGATGAAGTCGGGCCACGTGTTTACAATTGAGCCAATGATTTGTGAAGGTGAGTGTGTTCCTGTATTCTTTGTAACGTTTCTTTTTTTTCTTTTTAATTTTTGCCAGTGCACACATAGTATGTAGAGGACAGACAACGAGGAGGGATTGGTTCTCTACCATGTGTGGCCTGCGAACCAAATGTCGGTTGTCAGGCTGGTGGCAGGCACCCTTTTCTGCTGAAGTGCCAGGCTTTGTAACATTTGTTGGGTTTTTATTTATTTTTGTTACCCATCAAATCAATAGCTGGTTCTACTTGCTTCCTTCTCCCGATGGTATCTTGATTGGTAATATGTAGAGAATTGAACATGTAAGGGTTTCTAAGAAGATACTTTCTAAATGATAATTCTTCTGTCAGTAAGTGTAAAGTACTTGACTGTGGTCCCTATTCATAAAGATCTTATCAAAGGATGAGTTACAGTGATAAGATTGTGCCTCAAGCCTCTGTAGAAGTTCCGGTATGATGTAGGTTGGGGAAGAGGAGACAGACAGTTACTATCCAAGTTAAGTCCAGCTGAAGAAGAAGCCATTAGAAGGGCAAACATGTCGTTGAAGAGTGTAACCTGCTCAGGATGGGCATCTGGCCCTTCAGAGTCAGCATCCACACCTTGTGGTTTCATGCAGCATCACACAGAAGCATATCATCCACTCTGATGTCTGGCAGTATTCTCTCAGGTCCTCTGGCAGCACAGGCTGTAACGATGGGCTCCTTGTCACAAGCAGTTGTCAGATTATAACTGAAGTACTTCTACCAGTTCTTCGTTGGGCTCAAGCAGGTGGACTAGTGTCTCCTGAGTTCTTTGGAAGCACACCTTCCCAGGTCTTTCAGGTGTGAATACTCAGTTCTTCAGTGGCCAGAGGTCAACACCATGCTGTTTCTCTGGAGCCATCTACTTTGTTTTTGAAGTAAGTCTCTCCCTGGGACGTGGGGCTTGCCAATTAGGCTAGGCTGGCTGCCATCGAGTCCCAGGAGAGCTGTCTAATTCTCTGGAGCTTAGCTTTTTGCACTGGTGTTTGGTATGGAACTCTGGGCCACATACTTTAAGGCTAGTGCTTTGCCAATGGGGCATCTCCTAAGCTCTCACAGTTTTCTTAGCCCTCAAAAACAAAACAAAAACAAAACTATTTCCCTGAGCTGGAGAGATGGCTGCTCTTCCAGAGGACCTGGGTTCGGTGCCCAGCACGCACATGACAACTCACAACTGTATAATTCCATTTCTAGGGGGTCCAGTATCCTTACACAGATGCATGTGTAGTTAAACACCAGTGTAAATAAATACATCATAAAAAACAAAACAAAAAACTCCCAACAACCTATCCCAGCACTCTGGAGGCAGAGGCAGGCAGATCTCTGAAATTGAGGTCACCCTTGTCTACAGAGTGAGTTCCAGGACAGCCATGGTTACACAGAGAAAAAAAGCAAACCTTATTTCTCTTTGCTTCTCTTTTTTATGGTTGTAAGAATTTTATATTGCAGTCTGTCATCAGCCATTTACAGTTGTGTCAGGAGTGACACACTGTAACAGTGCAGGAACTAATGTTCAAGTTGTCCACTGAGACAGTTCAGTCAGTCAGTCTGGAACGTTGCCAGTTCACATCTCTGCTTAGTTCTGTGGGGAGGCATTTCCATGTGTTTGCTGAAAGGAAGGCTGATGCCTTTATTTTGGGAATGCCACCTTGGTTTGATACCAAGAAATATAGAAATTGCTACACAGAGGAAAACTGGGCATGGTTACTTCATGAGTGCGGATGGGAATGAAAGGGGACTTTACCTAACACCGGGTGTTAGGTGGGTAGGACAGTCCATTGGACTGCCTGGTTCCTCTCTTGTTTGTTTTTCCAGATGGGGTTTTTCTGTGTAAGATCCCTGGCTCTCTTGGACCAGGCTGACTTTAAATTCACAGAGATCTGCCTGCCTCTGCCTCCTAAATGCTGGGCTTAAAGACGTGCGCCACCAATGGGCTATTCCTTTCTTGATGCATACTCTCCTAGAGACTATTTAGAAATGTGGATGACAAAACTCAGCAGCTGTTTTTGCTTATTTAAGGTGGATGGCAGGATGAAACCTGGCCAGATGGTTGGACTGCAGTGACGAGAGACGGGAAGCGATCCGCTCAGTTTGAGCACACCCTGCTGGTCACGGACACTGGCTGTGAAATTCTCACCCGGAGACTCGATAGCTCTCGGCCTCATTTCATGTCCCAGTTTTAATTTTCCCGAGATGCCTAATGTCTGAACACGTCTTGTACTGTGCATTTTATTGAAAGTACAGAAATGAAGAGCTTTTTAAAAACCACTCCTTTTGTTTTGACTGTGGGTAAGGAAGGACAGCACTTGGTATGTGTCCCCAAGAGCTTTTTTGGGGGGTCTGAAAAAGCTGAGAAGAATAAAGGAGACGTTGCTGACTTCCTTCAGTCCCTGGCCTCACCCCTCAGTTCTCTGTACTGTGTTTTCTTCTTTGTCCCTTGAGCACTATGACCCTAAATCTGCTTCTCATTGCTTTAGCACTGCCGCAGACCAGCCGCCAAGGGCCAGCAGCTTTCCAGGGGGTGCTGAAGATAAGAAATCTTGAAACTTTAGCAACACGTTGCTCCAGAATTTTATTATATATTGATATATATGTGGAAAATATATGCATACATTCTAAATTCCATATACATAATTACTGAACACTGGCCTTTGGTCTGGGTCGACTCTGCTTTGACGGGATGTTTTCTGTCGTAAGCGGAGTCATAATTTGTTGGTGGTTGACTTCTGGTTGGGGAGTGGCCTCCTCTCGCCCTCATGCTCATCATTTGCCTTGTATGTATGCAGGGGAGACTTAGGCAGCGTGGGCTGTGTTAGTGAACGCATGGTAAGGTCACGTGGGAGGCTGTCAGACTTTGTAAGGTCTGGTGTGGTAGAAATAGCTGTGCTGCAGATGGTGGCTGGTTACTGCAGCCATTCCACCACACACGGCCATCGCAGACTCTGTCTGGCCAGAAGTGTGAGGTCAGAGCCCTTCTGCTGAAAGGTATCCATACCTCCGAAGAGTGGCGGTTGTCCTATGGCAGGCAGATGACGGGAAAGAATTCCACACGGTCCGCAGGCGTGCAGTCACAGGTGACTGAGAGTGTCACCGTTCAGTAAGCTAACAGCAGTGGGAAGGAACTTGTTGCAGTACTCTAAGTGCTGGGTGGGGGTGCTGCTGTCCCGTAGTGCAGGTGTACCTCACCTCTGCAGTCGGGCCTCATCAAAAGATGGCTCTGATGCCAGCATCCAGCATTGTGCTGTTTGCTGGTTGTCCAAACACAAGTGTATGCAGTGGAGACACAGCAGATCGTAAAGTTGTCGTGAGACTATCCTCGATTACACCAGTGACACATACTTAAGACATCATCTTTTCCAGAGTGCCTCAGACCTTATTGCTTTAAGAGAATGATAATGTTTTCATGACTTTATTTTAATAATTTAGTAAAGTGATTGAATCTGGTGTAGACTTCTGGGTGTGTGTGTGTGTTTAAAGTTTTTATCAAACTGTAATATTTGTGAATGGAATGCCTTGTAATATGAATGTTAATATAATATGTAAAGGGAGATTAAAAGTTTGAATGATTATCCCACCTACTGTAGTTGCATTTGTTGGCATTTCCGAGGGAATTCATGGGAATGAGGCTAATTTCATAATCTAAACTAAACTCATGACCATTGGAGCATACACACCTTTCCAGGTATAATATTGTACCATAAGTGCATGCTGTTTAATCCAGCAGCGTGCCAGCGCCATTTGAGATGTAGCTGTATTATGAGAGTTTTTAAGGCCAAGAGTATTTAGGGGAAAAGTTTGTATTCTGGCAGATTAGTAAGTGGGGTTGTGTTCAATTTATATCATTAGAAAAGAGAGCTTCAGCAGCAAAATCTTGGTATAGTTTCCTGGGGAAAATATAAATATACATATATTTATGTGTATGTATGTGTATGTATATATATATGCATACATACATGCTGGTAGGAATGCTTTCCTTGGTTTGAATTAAAAACAAAAAACAAAAACAAATAAAACCAATGTGGGCTCTATTCTAATTACATATCTCCAATAAAAAGTATGTTTAGTTTACAAGACCTCTACTTGCATCAGTGTACAACCACAGTTAATGTAGTAACTTGCTTGTCAGTGCTGGGATTGAACTGGTGACTGTGTACATAGTAGGCAGTCTGCTACAGCATGCACAGGCTAACTGGTGAGATGATCGTTCTTTTCCTCCTGTTGTCCCGTAAGTGTCTCCTACGTGACTCCAAATCCAGTTACTTGACAATAAAAATAAGCAATCACATGGGCACTAATACCAAGAAAACTTGTTTGCCCTTGGTATTAGTGCTTTCTTGTTGCTGACAGTGCCCAACAAAAGCAACTAAGGGAAGATTTATTTGGGCTTAGCATTTAAAAGGGTCATGACGTATCTTGAAGAATGGCGCTGTGATAGAGCATCATCAACCTGTAGGTCACCTTGTGTCCTTGGGAAGCAGATGAGATTATGCTGGTGCTTAGCTGGCTTCCTCCTTTTCCTCTGTATTCAGTCCAGGCCCTATGATGGTTGCCTTTTTACATTCAGCATGGGTCTTCGCTCCTCAGGTAATTCCAGACACTCCCATAAGTGTGTCTCCTAGGTGACTCCAAATCCAGTTACATGACAATGAAAATAAACTCACATTCCTTATCTTTGCTTTCTATTTTTTTGTGGTGGGTAAGTACTTTAGAACCTTTTCACCAGTATTTATTCTTGTTGCCCATGTGTGTTAAATTACAGACAAGGCTGCAGTTGGACACTTTAATTTCTGTCTTCTAATTCACTTCTGCTTTGGTTGAAATTAGCAACAGAATACTGTGCTCTGCACAAGTAGATGCACACCCATGGGGTATGTAAATGATCTGTCCTTAAAGTTTTTACTCTTGGACTAGAGATGGCTTAGTAGTTAGAGTGCTTGCTTGATGCACAGTCGTGAGCACCAGAGTTGTGATCCCAGCACCCATGGCAAAGCCAGGTGTGTCCCCAGTAGTAGGAGATTGCTGGAGTTTGCTGACTGTCAGCAGAGCCAAAAACCAGGGGCCTCAGGCTCAGCGAGATGCTGCCTTGAAAGAAAAGGCCGAGTGCTAGAGAGGGACTCCTGTTTTCTCTAGTCCCAGTGCAGGTGTGGCCTTGTACACGCCATACTTTACAGAAAATAAGATTTTATCTTGATGTTTTGAAAATGGTATAGGAAAGTTGAAATTAAAATATTTGTTATCTATATCCAGCTGTAAAAATTTTGCCCCCTTTGCTTCATGTAGATGGAAGTGTCTGTCCTGTAGCTAGCTGTTTAGTACCAAATAAACACAGAAGCTTATATCAATCGCAAACTGTTCGGCTGATGGCTCAGGCTTCTTATTGGCTAGTTCTTTCATTTCTATTGATCTACATATCTCCTCCTGGTCTTGGCTTACAAGCGAATGCTTGGGCATCCTACCTGACTGCCAGCTGTATGGTGTTTTCTTGACTCCTCTACTACCTTTCTCTACCCTGTTTTGATTTCCTGCCTGGCTAAACCCTGCCCGCCCATTGGTCAAAACAGCTTTATTCATCAACCAGTAAGAGAACATATTCATAACATACAGAAGGACATCCCTTATTATGGACTTTACCCTAACCTGGTCCCGGGATTGAATCCAGGGCTTTGTACACAAGAAAAGGGTTTTACTTTACCTACTACTGCTTGAGTCTGTATTTCTGTAAGTGCGTTTGTGCCAGGAGTGTAGGACAGAGTGCTTGACTAGCACATGAGGCTTTGCAGTTTAATTTCCAGTAAGTACCCACACCCCAGCAAAGGAGTATGTGTGGTAATAACATAATTGTTACATTAATAAAAGTATATGCAGACTTAGTTTCCCCCAAGTTTCTTCCTGCTGGTCCCAGAGCGGTAGTTTCTTTGTTCTAGAGTAACTTCCCTGCCCTTTTAGTATTTTAGGAAATTAATACTTGAAAAATCGTGTCTGTTCCATATAAAAGTCTAATTCTCGTGAGGATATGCTGAGGAGAAATATTTTGACAGAAGGCTTCATAGATGTCACGTTGCATTCATTACGGCCCATATGAGTTGTCACAGTATTCCAATGTGCTTGATCACTTTGTGTCTGTTACCCATCCCTATTTTTCCCCATTACTTTTTTTTTTAAACAAGTGGATTGTGGGAGCTAGTTGGAGGCAATTTGGATGTCATTTTCACTGTGATTTTAGCATTCATTGATACCCTTGCCTGAACCCACTGTTACCTTGCATTTCCCAAATCCAGTATTCCATTTATATTGACATTTTTACAAAGAAGCACTTTCTGTCTACGTTTATTAGCTTAGCTGACAGTCTACTGCCCGACCCTTAGCAAGCCCCTCAACTCCAACTTGACTATCACTGTTAGCTCCTAGGTTCTTTTGGTGGGAGTGCAGGTTGGAGACAAGCCTTGGCTGTCCTAGAACTTGCTCTGACTCACAAGAGATCTGCCTTCCTCTGCTGGGATTAAAGGTGCATGCCACCACCGCCAGGCTAGATTCTTATTTAAATAACTTTTCCCATTGAGAATTTGATAGTGTAATTTGGATCCCACCCCTCCCCTCCCCCACCACCTCCCAGATCCACCTTCATCTTCCTACCCAACTTTTGTGTTTTTTGCTCGGAGTGGAGGCCTGCCCTAGAATGTGAGCATAGGGGTCATGCCACAAGAGCTCCTTAGCTAATGATGGGATTCTGTGCTTACTTCCCTGTCTCCATGCTGGCACTTCGGCTTGGCCATGTGCAGGTCTTGTGTGCTGTCACAAACCGCATTGAATTCCTATGCGATTCCTAGGTTGTACCTGGAGAAGTTTGCTTGAAATAATCTACCATCCTTAGCTCTTAAAGTCTTTGCACCCCATCTTCCACAAACTCTCAGAGCCTCTCATTTAGGGTTGAGCAGTCTTTATCTCTGCACGTTGACCAGTTGAGGATCTGTTTAATTACCATCTACTGAAAGAAACTTGTGAAGAGGGTTGACAGATCCCTATGTACAGCTTTTATCGGTCAAACTTACATTTTTTTCTGGAGTAATGAGGTACCATTTTCCCACCCAACTCCCGGTAACAAGCCAAAGTTGCTTGTTTGCATCTTTGTAATATGAACTTGTAAGTGCGTTTGTATCTTGTCTTGAGAGAAGCAGGACCAAGACACCAGGGATCTAACTTTAACTGTGTGGCTAAGGGGACACACTCTGTCTCTGTGCACGGCTTAGCAACAGCTTAAATGGCAATGTGACTGTGAAGCACATTTGCAGTATCAGTAGCTGGGTAGGTCATGCCACTGAGCACTGTTCTGCAGTCATCACAGTGTGACCTCATTGTGGGCTCTCTGGAGAAGTTGCATATACGCGGAAGCAGGAGCAAATCCCGTGGTGCATTGTGCAAGGCCTTTACTGGTCACACATGCGGAATTGTCAGTGTCCAGTTGACTGAGTACACCGTTTTCTCAAAATTCCACCAAAAGAAGCCATGTGGAGCCAGGCTGCCTGGCTGTTGTTAACCCAAGTGAATGAATTAAAAATCTGCCTTTCTTTGGGGTCAGCACTGTTTCTAGATGGCATACCAGGTGGCCTAAAGAAATTCAACTTATATACAAATGCAGAAAGCATTTTTATTATGCTAAAATATTTCTTGATGAGCCGCAATTATTTATGTGGAGAGTTCAAAAAAGTGACTTGTTTGTGACTATTTGCCTCGTCCTTGATTAGAGCCATGATTACACACATTTCTTTAGTAGTTTGTGACATCTCAAGGGCTAGCAGATCTGTCAGTCTGTTCTTATCCAATCACAGGAGAAAGAAAGCACAGGATGTTCTCTTCTGAACTCACATCTTTAGAACAGTTCGAATGCTGCAAGACAGAGCAAGAGGAATAAAATTTGACAGATGAACTAAAAGAGTTATATTTATTTAGTGTGAGTGGTGAGTGTGTGTGTGTGTGTGTGTGTGTGTGCGCGTGCACACACAAACCTGGTATGTGTGTGTGGAGATAAGTTCTCTTCTTCCAGTGTGGGACCTGGGCACTGAACTCAAGTCATTGGGCTTGACAGCAGACAGGTCTCCCTTTGAGTCCTGAGTGGTGAATTTTTAGATCACTTGACATTCTATTTGTTTTGACCCCCTCTTGGATCAGGCCATTACGAATTCTGTATTGCACAGTTAAGTCTAAAACTCACCTTTCCCCTGAGTGCATCAGGTCTAAGGCTTTGTTAACTTGGTCGAAGGGCAGATTGTTAGTCACAAATTCATCAACTTTTATCTTTTTGGACATATATTCAGACACCAGCTTTGGGACACTCTCCACACTCTTCCATCCTGAAAGAAATCACATTCTTCAGGATAATTTATGTAACAAGTTTCTCCAGTATGCTTAGTCATGTTCCTTTCCTGGGTGACACCAAGAAAGTTCAAAGGTTAAGTGGAATTCAAGGGGAATGAAACATGCTAAAACTGGCATGTGGGAAGAATCAGACACACCCTGAGCTGTGAAAAAGTAAATACTTCAGAGTTAATTGCTATTTTCCTATATGAGGGTTACTAAACACTGGGCCTGGTGAGATAGACCTGAGAGGTCAGCTACAGTGGCAAGTTCAAGGCCAGCCTGGTCAACTCTGCCTCATAAACAAACAGCTTATAAATCTGCTAGGCAGCACTTGCCTAGTTAGTCCGTGTAACTCTGGCTTCAAAGGCCCTTTAAATCCAGCTCCTGGAGTATGGTGCCCTCAGGAGCATGTGCCATTAAACAGTTCCAAGACACTAGAAACCATTTAATCAGACTGACATCTTGTAAACAGTTTAATCCTAAAGGAAATTTTGGTCATGCCCTCATTTTAGCATATATTTGAAGGCTTTTATTGTGGGTTTCAAAAAAGCTGGTATAATACAAGGTATGGGATCTTGACATACATTCTCTTAAACTGATCATTCAAAGTGCCTGGGATTTTATAGCCCCTCCCCCCCCCCCAAAGATGGCAGGATAGGTTTGTTTAGTTTTGAAAGCCTGTAAGAACCATGGAGGTCATTCTTCACAACAGTTGGGCTCTGTGAGACATGTTTTGCTATCTTCTCCCCAGCTGAGCACCACGAAAAGACTGCCCAACCTTTACCCGCACTTAGATAGTACTAAACAAACGACTAACCCCTCTTAGGATCACACCTACGTGTGAGGATCATCAGTTTAATAGCTTTTAATTTTGCTAAAGACTTTTGTCTGTATTTCAGTTTAGGACTCAGTACTGGTTACTACTGAAACCAGCACTATGGTAACCATGACAACTAAATCCACACAAGAAACTCTGGGACAGCTCACCCAGCCTGCCTCCAACTTCTGCTCATTCATTCTTGCTTGCTCTCCTTCTTTCCTTCCTTTTTTTTTGAGCCGGGGTTTCTGGCTGTCCTGGAACTCAGTATGTACGCCAGACCGGCCTCACGCCTGCCTGTGCCTCGCAGGTGTTAGGATTAAATGCTGCAGTGCTACACCTGGCTCTTCTTTTGGAAGCCTGTATCATTTGGTTCTGTTTACTCCAGGAGAAGCAGAATGCCTCCCCAGCACCAGCAGCCTGGTGCATTCTGCAAGCCTTCTCCTCAAGTCTCCCATGAAACAATCCATGATAGAAATACAATCATTTGTGTTAATCCAAGAAAATGAGACTGGGATTTAAATTATGCCAATGGAAACAGAGTAGAGAAAATCTACTTATCCCTGGCGTTACCTCCAAAGGCAGTGCCTTTCCACGTGCGTCCTGTCACCAGCTGGAATGGTCGAGTGGAGATTTCTTCACCCGAAGCAGCTACGCCGACCACCACACTGACTCCCCAGCCTTTGTGGGTTGCCTCAAGGGCTGCTCTCTGCAAGCACAGAGATAAGATGCAATCACAGATGTCCATGAACTGCACTGAGAATGCCCTCTTCCCCAAAACCTTCTAGAGGAGGAAGGGTGACACAGGGCGATTAAAAAAGATGGCAACACATTCCCAAATAATGTTCAGTCGTAATTTTATCAAGCAATTATATTTTAACAAGCAGCTTTAAAAATTAACCCGAATATTAAAAAAAATTGAACAAGGCTTTTACCTGCTTTCTTTTTTAATTTTATACCCTATATCTACAATGAAAGCGAATGAATCTAGACTGCTTTTCTCTCATGAGTTATTAAAAAAATTAACTACAAATGGACTCAAATTTAAGATCCGAGACTATCACACTACTAGAAGAAAACGTAGGGGAAGTACGTAAATATATTTAATAGGGAATATATATATATATTTACACACACACACACACACACATACATACATACATAAATAAAATCTTGGATAAGATCTCAACATAGGAAGTGAAAGCAGAGCAAACAGATGGAACACAGCAAATAAAAAGACTTCTGCATAGCAGAGAACAACAGAGCGCAGATGCGGCGCACACATCATTTGTAAAATTACAAGGAACCCCTAAAATCCCAACAATAAAATGCCAAACAACCTGGGCAAGGGATATAAAGGGACATTTCTCCAAAGCACACACAGATGGCGAGTAGATACGTGAAAACATGTGAAAAAACATGTTAAACACCACTAGTCACTTCTGAGACTCAAAACCACAACACATCACTGAGCCTCAAAACCACAACACATCACCTTATTCCAGTAAGAATGACAGTAATCAGAAAGATTACAGAGGAACACTTTAGAATTCTCCACGAGAGGAGGAGCAGAAGCCGTCTGAGCTGTCCACCCCTCTTGCCTCAGCTCTCATTAGCTGTGGAAAATGGTTTAGAGAACCACTTACTGTGATGGTTGTTTCTTTGGGTGGGCGGGGCAGTCAAACCCAGTGCCACCTAGGAAGAACTAAAAGGCCAGGAGAGAATCCAAACCAGGAAGAAAGGCTTACACAGATTTCTCAAGCTTCGGAGATTGATTCCGACAGAAGGGAATTAATTACATGACAAGGGAGGAGGGCAGGTAATTAAGGATGGTGCAGGTGGGGACTGTTCCGATATGGATGATGGCTTCTGGAGGAGGAGGAAAGAGGGAGAAAGGAGAGACAGAAATGTACATCAGCTCAGTAACCTTGGAGAAGGTCCAGGAGAACACATCTCTGCAGGCACCTGTGACAATGTGAAGGCAAGGATGGAAGGAAGGAGCTGTTGACAGTGTAGTCTCAAGTGCCACACCCTGTGGTCTCAGCCCTGGGGTGCAAATCGGGACTCAAAAGCTGGCACGAGGAAGGGCTCAGCAACTTCAGTCTGTGCATGGAGTGCCAGGGTCATGGGGGATAGACTGGTCCCAAAGACAGACACAAAGACAGACAGCTGCAATGGAAGAAAGATGGTTCAAGGGCAGATCCTAGAAGTTCATCTGGAAAATGAAACATGGCTAGAAGATAACACTGTTTGGTGAAGGGGACCAAGGCCCAAGATTGGAGCCAGGGGATCCTGTCGGATTAGAAGAACCGTGCTAATTTTACTTTTTACTCGATGAGAAGACCTTTTAAGTGCACCACCAACACAGCTTCCGAAAGCCAAACCCACTTTTCACAACTGTCACACTCATCACCTCATCCAACCCTGACTGTCAGGCACCGAGGAGGCAGAAGGCGGCGAGCTAAAGGAAGACACGCCAACACATCATTAAACCTGCCAATGCCATTCGCAAAGGCCGCATTAAGTTAAGGCCAAGCTTCCTAGAGATGACTTCCTCTCTCCTCATGAACTCTCTTTGCCAGAAAAACTCCTTCCTGAGAGGAAAGAAGAGGGCGATGAAATGGATCAGGGAGGACTGGGGAGGCCTGACCCAAACAAGGATGGAACAGCATGTTTGCTGTAGCATAGCCTAAGTGTCTGCCGGCTGCTATTCCTACTAAACAAAGCCCGACAGCCTTCAAAGCCTCCCCATTTAGGCATACATATGAAAACAGTACAAAGATTGATTATTACTCGGCAAAGTTTTATGTTTTTAAATATCAGTTTAAAAATAAAAGTAAACCCTAACTCAAATTAAAATGAAAGATTTTAGGGCTAGAGAGACAGCTCATCAGTTTAGGGCACTTTCTGCTCTTACAGAGGACTGGGTTTCGGATCCCAGCACCCACAACGGGGCTCACGACCATCCCTAACTCCAGTTCTGGAGGGTCCGATGACCTCTTTTGACTTTGTGGGGACTAAGTACACATGTCGTGTGCATACATATTCATAGGCAAACCGTTCATACGTATAAGGTCTAAAATGAAAAATTTAGTGCAAGAAGCTGTGAAAAGTAAGTGTAAGACAGTCACTATTTTGTCTGTTAGAATCCGCATCCTAAAAAAAAGAATCCGCATCCTTTGCTCAGCTCACAGCATCAGGATGTATGTGCCTGTATCCAATCCCAAAGCTCATGTTCTTCACACTGTTTAGCTTTTCATTTCATGAGATAAGCAGTTAACATACACTCAAAGGCAAAGAAACATTTTTTTATTGTTCATCTTTCTCTGATCCCTTCTATCATTTCCCACTCAAATAGTTTAAGAAGCTATCACCCCCCCTTCTTTAGAATTAATTCCTATCAAAGCTGTTCCTTCCAAAACAAAACAACCATTAATCCTAAGGAACCTGCATTTTAAGAAAGTATTTTAAGCACAAAAAGAATGAACGTACACACACTCACCATGACCTTCACATTGCCAATACACTCAAAGGAGAAGTCTACTCCCCCATCTGTCATCTCAATGAGCACTTCCTGGATGGGTTTCTTGAAATCTTGGGGATTAATACATTCGGAGGCTCCAAATTCCTTGGCCTTTGCGAATTTATCTTTATTGATGTCGATACCAATGATCCGGGATGCACCAGCCACTTTACAGCCCATGATCACTGCCAATCCGACTCCTCCCAAGCCAAAGATGGCACAGGTAGAACCAGGCTCCACCTGTCATCAAAGACAGTACATAAGCAGCATGCCAAGAACACAGGATGGCCAGTGTTCCAGCAATGTCTCACTGACCCACCCAGGCCAGTCTCTTACCTTGGCAGTGTTCACAGCAGCACCGTAGCCGGTTGAAACACCACAGCCGAGAAGGCAGACTTTATCCAAAGGTGCCGAAGGGTCAATTTTAGCAACGGAGATGTCAGCCACAACTGTGTACTCTGAAAATGTGCTGGTTCCCATGAAGTGGAAAAGAGGCTTTCCTTTGCAGGTGAATCTGGTAGTGCCATCGGGCATTAACCCTTTCCCCTGAGTGATTCTAGAGAAGAAAAAAGGAAAAGGAAAATAGAAGGGAGATTTATTTCCTTAACTATAGGAAAAAAAAAATCAGTTTTAAAAATAATGAGCCGCCAATACTCAGAAAAGTATACTAAGACAAAAACCCATAACCTCAATGCAGTGTTTCTCAACCTTCCTAATGCTGTGTGTGACCCTTTTAATGTTGTGATGACCTCCAACCAGAAATTTTTTTCGCAGCTACTTCATAATTATAATTTTGTTACGATTATGAAAGGTAACATAAAATATGTGATATTCCAGGTATCTGAAGTGCGACCACTATGAAGGGGTTGTTTGACCCCCCCCACCCAAAGGGGTTGTGACCCAATGGTTGAGAGCTGCCATTCTAATGCATTAACAACTTTCTGAATTCCGAAAACACCTTAGTAGATACTTACAAACCCTGATCTCCCTCGGCTTTGTTGTCCTTCCTGGATCTGTATACCATAAGCAGCGTATCCCCCCAACCCTGTGTTCTATCTCAGTTAAATTGTGCCATAAGAACTGAACAGATTCCAACAGCTTCAACTTCCATGACATTATTTTAAAACTCGATAAAAACTTACAAGCAAATAAAGCTTCATAAATGATGGAGCCCAAACTAGAATTTATATAAGATTCCAAACAAATTATCCAACTCATCTAGTGAGAAACAAAGGCGCCTCCCCGGGGCTTCAGTAGGGTAACATTTCTCAGGGCTTCACTGTGTAGCTGTGGGTGATACGTAGATCAGGATGGTCTCAAACTCACAGAGATCCACCTGCCTCTACGTTGAGTGCTGAGATTAAAGGTGTGCATCAGTACCACCAAGGCTGGCCTTTCTCTTTGACTGTGGTGAATTACCACTAGGGGGAAAGCCAAACAAGCAAAACGCCTCTCAAACACCTCCCAAACTCAGTTATCTTACGAGAGGCAGGGGACTGGCATTTGCTTAGGAATACAAGCTTAGCCAGATGTGGGTGGCCCTGAGCTACTACTCCAAGCTTCTGGTGCCTCACTACAGTGTGGGGAAGCAGCAGCATCTTCCTGGTAGATTATTGCTACAAAAATCAGAATGCACGGCAAGCACTGTATCCAATGGTGTGAGGGTTAACTCTGTGTGTGTGTGTGTGTGTGTGTGTGTGTGTGTGTGTGTGTGTGTGTGTGTGTGTGTGTGTGTGTGTGTGTGTGTATGTAGGTCAGAGGACAACCTTGAGGTTGCTCTTAGTCTCTCTGAGACCGGGTCTCTTTGCTACTGTGTTAGTTAGTTAGCTGGGTGAGTTGACCCTACTGATTGTTCCTAGGGTGTGCTGGGATTGCATACTTGTGCTACTGCAGGTAGCTCTGATGTGGTTTCTGGGGAATCTGAATTTTCCCAACTGAGCCATCTTCTCAGGCCCAATACCTATCATTTCTAATAAGCACAATAACCTGGTATAAACTCAGATAAATACAAAAAAAAAAAAAAAAAAAAAAAAAAAAACAGGAGTAAACAGGTCTATGCATTGTTGTAGGTGTAGAAACTCTTTCACTCACACTGGAAAGCTGTGTGTGTGTGTGTGCTTCTCACACCTTAGCCAATCAAATCACAGGAATCCTCCTAGAGACAGTACATACCCAAATAAAACAGGTAAGAAGGCAGCACTAATGTTAACAGCCCGCCTTGGTATGTCCACCAACAGGCGGATGAACAAACCCTGGTGGCTGGAGTGGAATACGACAGAACACCACAAAAGTAGACATGGGCACAGGAACTTACACACTGCCGAGACACAAATGTAAGAAACCTGACAGCACATGCCGCATGATCCAACCACACAAAGTTCTACAGGGAAGCAGAGGACAGTGGCGACCTCTGCAGGAGTCAGGGATGGGTCTGGAAGGGACATGAGGGACCCAGAGAGGTGCCAGCAGAGATCCCCACCTGTATCTGGGAGAAGGGTCTATCCAGCAGGCATGTATACATGAAAACATTCACTGGGCTGCACATATACAATCTGTGTACCATGAGTACTGTATGGATGTATGCTCTACCTCAATTAAAAAAAAAAAAAAGCAGCAAACAAGGCCTAATGGTCTCAAGGGTCCTTAGGTGGTATGCCACACCTCATAATAGAACAACTTTCTCTGTGTCAAGGGGTTTGTTATCTCTTGTAGGCTTCACGTAATGCCCTTCGGGTAACTTTTATTACTTTGATTTAATGCACAATAAAATAGCTCATAAAAACGATTTCATTTCACTTAAAAAAAAAAAAAAAAAAAAAAAAGTCTTTCCTTGCCAATTTAGCTGGCTGTTACAGGAAGACAATGTACTCAGAAAACTCTGACCACCTACCCACACCACCCTTCTTTGGGTCTTTGAAACAAGGCCATACTTGTATAGTCTGGGCTGTGACCCTCCTGCCTCCATTTCTTTAGTGTTGAGATTACAGGTGTGGACCACCATTCCTGGTAACCAGCTCCTGTCTTAGATCATAATGGCTGGTGAATCTTGGTTTTTCTCATCCTTGAAAAGACAGAGCTTAGTAACACTGACAGCAAGGCCTCTTTAAAGACAGAATTAACTCCTGAAAAAAGGCACTGTATAAATCACCACATAATTACTTGCTGTGATGATTATATTTTTGGGTGTGTATGGGTATTTTGCCTGTATGTATCTATGTATTTATGCCCACCATGAGTGTGTCTGGTGCCTCGAGGCCAGAAGAGGGTGTCAGTTACCCCTGAACTGGAGTTACAGATGGTTGTTGAGCTACTATGTGGGTGTTAGGAATCAAACCTGGGTCCTCTGGAAGAGCAACTAGTACAACAGGTGCTTTTAACCACTGAGCCATCTCTCTAACACCATACTTACTGTTAATAAGATCTATTCTAAGACTACAATAAAACAGGGCTGGGGAGATGGCTCAGCAGTTATAAGCACTTACTGTGTACACATGGAGACCTGAGTCCAAACTGCAGAACCCATGTAAAACATCAGGCCTGACTCCAGATGCTTGTAACCCTGGTGCTGGGGGAGGGCAGGAGGAGAGAAAGAAGGGAGTCAGGCAGACAGGAGCTGTGGCCCAGGAGCTGAAATGCACAGCTTCCATTTAAGGGACCCTGTCTCAAAGGAATAGAACGGGGAAGCTGTGCAATAGTTTCCTCTGAACTGAAACGTTTCATTCTGCAAGGAAGCTCCTCAAGCAGGAGGGCAAACAACCCAAAAATAGCTTCAGGAAGTTCCTGAAACTGGCCAGACTCATTAGGCCCCTTCTTGCCAGAGTGAGCAATGAAAGTTAAGAGTCCCCTTGAGACAAGACAGCCAAGCTGCAGAGAAGACTCTCAGACCCAAGCAGCTGCCTGGAAGAGGTTTAGAGCATCTGAGTCACTTGGAAAGGACACTCTTTAACTTGTTTATCTGGCTGTAGGCTGTGCTACGTGCTCTAGGTTCCCAGCCTTTGTGAGCTGTCATCCATGCTGGTGTGGGCTTTGGTGATGCAACTGTCTTTCTGTATTTGTGCTCCTGTAAGTAATCCCTCACCCATATTCCTATAAGGGACCCCAATACAACTCATGGTTCATTTCACCAAGCTGGACTTTGATGTGTTGTGGGTTCCTTATGTGGGCTAAGTAGACACATGTGTTACATCTCCCCAGGAGTTTTGTCATGCAACAGGGAGGAAGAGGGGAGGGAGGGGTGAGCTTCTTTGATGTCCTGCTGTGGCCCCTACATGTGCAACAGACACACACACAGAGTAAACCCACGTATTAAAAAAAAAAAAAAAAAAAAGATACTAACCTTATCTTCTGGCAAAGGTTTGTTTTAGGATTCAGACAAAATTTGCATTCTCCACACTGCGGGATGTAAAGAGGGATGACGGTATCACCTGGGAAACAAATGTGAGGTCATTACCCTGAATGACGCAGCTGGCTCTAAGTGAACACAGCAGCCCTCTTCATTTCAACAAGTGATGCAATTCTGCAAAGAAAAAGCCTCAAAGCCTAGAACCATTATCTAAAGGGCAGGGTCCAGACACTAGCCAGCCATGCACAAACAGGTAGGTTTCAAAGTTTTTGAACTAAATGAAACTCTAAATAATTGGAGGATAAAGAGGTCGGTATGTTTCAGGAACACCAATTCGTTGATGCATCTCTAAATATTCTTGCTTAATTTGCCAAAATTGCTTTTGGTAATGTACTTGAGACAGTTTCAAATGAAAAGCAGCCTGCAAAATCAAAGAGGAAGAAGTGAATCCAAATATTTGTACTTCCAAGAAAAGTGAGACTAACTGTGACAACTTTCTTAGGTGATGACCTGCTCATAAATAAATGAACAGCTGCATATTAACCAGACAATACCATCCCTACCCAAACAAGCCGAAGTCATTAGGAGTGGATTAAATACTTTCCTTACCTGCCTTCACCTTAGTCACCCCTTCACCGACACTTTCCACGATTCCAGCACCTTCATGTCCCAAGATCACTGGGAAGCACCCCTCAGGATCAGCTCCGCTCAGGGTATAGGCATCAGTGTGGCAGACGGCGGTGGCAATGATCTACCAGGATGTTAAAGAGAAACAGCAACTAAGCATGCACATGCAGCTGGACATACCACATTTTGCAGATTTTTAGATACATTTCTTTTACAATTTTACTCCTCTAAAACCAGCGTGTTTAGAAGTCTTAGACCTGACAGACTTCTTGGCAGTAACGAGAATGGTGGTGCATTAATTTGCAAGGAGGCCTAGCATAGCTATTTTCCTTTTAGGTGCATGTGAACAAGCAGAGGAAAAGCTGGCGGCTTCACCAGCGATGTGTCTTCAGTTGTAAAGACGAACAAAATGGGCGGGCCGGGGGGGGGGGGGGGGGCACCTCACTGCTGCGCTCCCTGACTCCGGGGATGTGATGTTAAGAAGATCTTCTTTCTGAGGGGTGCCTGTCTGTCCGGTCCCTGCCAAAACTCAGAGTTTTTAGTGGAATAGAGTCTTTTTTTGCTAACATACGCAATTTTACCGGACTCTCCCTGGCTTCTAATAATCATATATTGGGGCTGGCAAGATGGCTCAGTGATTAAGAGTGATTGCTGCTCTGGTGATGGTCTGGTTTTTGGTTCTCAGCACCCACATCTGGTAGCTCCTACCCATCTGCAACTCCTCTGGGCTCCAACACCCCCTGGTCTCCTCAAGTTCCTGCATGCACCTGGCACATACAGACTCAGAGGCACATACACATATCCAGTAAAGAAAAAAGCAATTAAAGGCAAAAGCTTATGTTTATGCTTTTCTGTTTCTGTCCTACGTGCCCGTTCTTTGCTGAAAACCACCAGCTTCCCGGGGATGAAAGCTGTCACTGGGCCAAACTGTCTTCTTTACCGGCAAAAGCGCCCATCAGCTTAACTTTTGCTCATGAACAGAAACACACAAAGTATTATAAGAGTTCAGATTCTTAGATCCTGGCTGAAAAGGAGCTTGAAAAGCATTAGGTTTTGTGCTTCTCAATCAGATTGTGAACCCTGGGACACAGGCTGGTGTGCACAGTGGTTCTGGTGGCACGATGATGCAAGAGATCGGTGACTCTTCCTTCAAGAACATTTTTCCAGAATATTAAGGAACAAAACATATGGAATGGTTATTACTTTAAAGCATTAACTTAACAAAAAACAAAAAAATCCAAACAAACAAAACCCAGAGCAGAGGGTAAAACATTTCATAAATGTTAAGGTGTCAAAGGTCTCTCGGGAATGCTGTCTTCCGCCTCTCTCTAGGGGTAACCTCTTCTTACTCACAGCGGCGGGTAAGCAGGGGACTAACAAACCCACTGAACTGGGCCTTGTCCACCAGGGGCAGGGCATTTTTAAGCTCTCCAGGCAAGGGAACTTTATTTGTTTACTGGTCTAATCAATCAGGGACCTTTCTCCAGTTTTCTGGAGAAGCTCATGTGTATTCTTTGACTCTAATACACCACACCGTGAATTATGGGATTAGCAGAAGGGAGAGGATCATATAAAGCCACCCTAAACCCAAACCACACAAAGTTACGTCACTGTAGTCCACTAATCTGGAGGTTTGGCTTCTCAGCCCCGGACCAATACCGGATGATGGGAGGGTGGGTGAGAGACCGTGGCTCTGCAGTTGGAAGGCTTCCAATGCCTTCTTCCTTTTCCCCACAGTGCCTTGCTGTAACATTACCTTAATTCGAACTTCATGAGCCTTTGGAGGGGCCACTTCCACCTCCTCTATGGAGAGGGGCTTTCCGGCCTCCCAGGCCACTGCAGCCTTGCATCTGATCACCTGAAGCAGGGGAAAGGAAATGAACAGTTTATCCTCCTAAACTAATAACTACTTCACGGGCAATTCAGATAATGATGAATGTTAATGTCTGCAGGTACCAGCGCTGGGGAGATGGCTCAGTGCCCAGCCTTGTGAGCATGAGGACCAGAGCTCAACCTCACAGCATACCTGGATGTAGTGTCCTGTCTGTAACCCCAGCACTCAGGCAGTACATAGGGGACCCTCAGAGCAAGCTGGCTGGCTAGACTAACCATACTGTTGAGCTCTGGGTTCAAGTGAAGAGCCTGATTCAATACATATGGTGCAGAGTGATTGAAGAAAACGGCAGAAGTCAGCCTCAGACCTTCACGTGACCATGCATAAATACTCACACACACAACAAACTCACACACACACAAAACTAAATAAAATGAACAACACATTCACAGGAAATGTATACCTCTGTGTGAAATGGAGAATTGTTCTTTTAGGTTTCACATAATTAATATACGTGAGTTCGAGACCAGCTTGGTCTACAAAAGCAATGTCCAGGACAGCCTTCAAAGCCACAGAGAAACCCTGTCTCAAAAAAAAAAAAAAACAAAACAAAGATCCCATCTCAAACATTCCCTGGAACCCCCCCCCCCACACTTTTGAAAGGCTGAAGAGATGTCACTTGCTGCTCTTGCAGAGGATTCCAGGCTCAGTATCTATATGTTCAGGACTACTTGTAACTCCAGTTCCAGAGGACTCATGCCTTATTCTAACTTCCACAAGCTTCTGCATCCATGTGGTGCACATAAACACACAAAGGCACACACACACATATTAAAATATTTTTTAAAAAGGCTCTAATTGAAATGCTCATGACATTGTACAATGTATAGAAAAGAACAGATGAAGACACTGATCCTGCTGGGTGTGGAAGTGCATATCTTTTTTTATTTTTATTTTATTTTATTTTTTTTTTTTTGAGGCAGAATTCCTCTGTATTGCTTTGGAGGTTGTCCTGACACTCATTCTGTAGACCAGGCTGGCCTCGAACTCAGGGATCCACCTGCCTCTGCCTCTAGAGTGCTGGGATTTAAGGTATGCCACCAACGCTAGGTGGAAGTGCATACCTTTAAATTCAGCACTTGGGAGGAGCACTTGGGAGAAGCAGGAGGATCTCTATCTGAGGCTCTCACACAGAAAGTTCTGGACCAGCAAGAGCCACATAGTAAGACTTTGTCCAAAAAGCTAGGGATGTAGCTTAGCACAGTGGCAGAGCACATGCCTCAAACGCACAAGGTCCTGGATTTGATCCCAACACAACAAAAGGCAGGCCAGGTAAGAAAAACAACAAAATCCTACACAGGTCCTGTCAGGAGGTTTGGTAAATAATTCAAGGAACCACAAACTTATTATGTATCATAATAATCTTTCTCTTGGGATAGCTTATAAAACACCACTGTAGTACAAAACTATACAGTGGAAAGGATTCTAAAAAAATATCCAAATGGGGGATATGTAAAAATACCATAAGCATCTCTTGCAACTGTAAGCGTTGCAGTGGATCAGATGGAATTCTGGCACTCAGGAGCCAAGGAATGCTACAGGGTTAGTTTACAGCCGTGCTCCAGGGAAAGGATTCCCCAGTGTAACAGATCTGCTCTGGCAGCTTGGGCTTCCCCACTGGAGTTGTTACAGTTGGGCCCCAGTCCCCCAGAGTGCAACAACTCCATTTTGCTAGTGGAAGGTTCCCCCCAAAAGTGATACAGTCCTGCTCCACTTGCTCAGCTCTGCTCAAAAGGTGTTACTTCTTTCCTTCATTCCATTCCAGAGGTGAAGGAAGGTCTCACCCAAACCTCATTTAAGAGATTTATTGGGAGAAAGAATCCAGGAGAGTCTGTACACCTTTACTCCCAGCACTGGGGAGGCAGAGGGAGGCGGATCTCTGAGTTTGAGGCCAGCCTGGTCTATAGAGCTAGTTCCAGGACACAGGCTCCAAAGCAATACAGAGAAACCCTGTCTCAGAACACTCCCACAAAAAAAAAAAAAAAAAAAAAAAAAAAAAAAGAAAGAAAGAAAGAAAGAAAAAGGAATCCTGGAATCCTGGAGAGTTGGCTGCCCTAGAGGCCACAAGCACAACACAGGGTTTATATGAGGCTTCTTAAAGGTGGGATTTTTTCCTGGCTAGGGATTGGTCAGATTTCAATACCTGAGCTCAGGCTGGCTAAATTTCCCACTTAGGGATTGGTTGGTTTTCTGCAGATTCAGGTACTGATTTGGCTCTGATTCTGGGGCCAAAGTGTGTTTCTTTGGCCCTAGTTTCAGGATCAGGGTGCATTTCTTTGGTCGCCCTCTTTCCCAACAGTACTGTTAGCTAATGCATTAGCCATTTGCCATATGTAGCTATTGAGCACTAGAAAAAGGTCAGTGTGATCTGAGATTGGCTATAAATGTAAAATTTGAAAGCTTAGAAGAGTAAAAATATCTCAATTTAAAAATGGTGATAATATGTTAAAACAATGCTGTGACTATTAGGTTGGGGAAACATACCATTAAAATTAATTTTCTTTTTTTCCAAGACAGGGTTTCTCTGTATTGCTTTGGAGGTTGTCCTGGAACTCGCTCTGTAGACCAGGCTGGCCTCGAACTCACAGAGATCCACTTGCCTCTGCTTTCCCAATTGCTGGGATTAAAGGCAAGTGCACCACCAACACCTGAGTATTCTTTTAAATGTGGTTCTTGGAAAGTTTAAAATTCCATATACAATTTTTATCGTGCATCTACCGCAGCGATTGCACTCAGTTCAGCTCTTCCTTACGGCAAAAGCAAACCTAATGAGGGATCTTGGTTTTGATTAGTTCACTTGATGCTTACAAAATATGTTGACAGAGTAAAAGTTGCAAACCACTGGGTTTATAGGAGATGGCTTGAAAGTTAATGAACAGTAAGACGTGATTTAAAGAAACATGTACACGGTGCTGCACACCGAAAGCGAAGGCCCAAGAAGAGCCTGACTTTGCTTGCTAGTTTTGAGCGCGGCCAGTGCTCAGCTACGCCATCCAGCAAGTGCGATCTGGTCAAGCTACTCCAACCCGCCTCTTCCCACGGGCTCCGGCCAAGCACAGCAGAAAGCAAAGTTGCTCTCCAAGCTCAGGGCCGAAACAAAGCCGCGCTGCCCTCGCTGCGGCTGCACTCGCCTGCCCCGGCTGGCGGCAGCATGCCCCACGGGAGCGCCCTTCCTCTGCTCGGGCCCACCGCGCGATTCAATACCTGGTTCGCCATGTCCGAAGTTGAGGTCCGTGAGCAAAATCGTCCGCAGCGAGCCTAGCGGATCCCGGGGATGGGCGTGGCCGTGCGTGAGAGGCGTGGCCGAGCGTGGGAGGCGGAGCTAACACCGGAAGGGCGGAGCCTGAGTTTTGGCTCCCGCGCTCTGCTGCTGGGCAGGGCGGGGGTTTTATTCGGAGCCGGAGAGGCTTGCTATTCCTGGTTGGTCTGACCGAGTCGCTGCAAAGCATCCCTGTGGTATCTCCCTGTCTGATTTCCGTGCAGTCCTTGTACGTGAGGCTTAGAAGCATAACGAGAGGGGACCGCACTGCTTTCCTTCCCGCCGTCCTTCCTCATGCTCGGCGCTTCTGGGTACAGGATGAGCCGCCACTGCCCCCAGCGGCTGTGAGATCCTGAGGGAGAGGGCCCCTCCTAGAAACCAACTGCCCTAGCTCCGGCTCCAGCAGCTTCTGATGGGCCCCGGATTTCTGGGGCCATAGGACACGGGGAGAAAAGTTTGTAGGAAGGGATTGAGGGAGCAGAATGGGCGCGTTTTAAGAGTAGATCAACTGTGTGCAGAGACGGAGGATGCGGCGGCGTTCTTGCTGTAATCCTAAATGCTACCTGTACACAGGGAGTTTTTTGTTGAAATGTACGTACTAAGACACCGCATTCTCTTTGTATTTTCAAGGCTTATTTCCTGAAGACAGGCCTTAAGGGTGGATGTTCTCCCCAAAACTCTTTGAAGTCATCTCCGCTTTTCACATTCTGACTTAACTTATATAATACTTACAGGGTGACTACCGGGTTCCGTTCTCCAGTCGGGGTGGCTTTCCTAAACTCCAGGCTTGAAGTGCAAAGTGCCTGCTAGATGCCTGTGTGTACTAGGGTATCTCATAGTGCTTTAAACTGCACTCATTTAAAACCAGCCTTGTATTTTCTTATCAAAGGGGCCTTTCTTTACATCTCAGTGTTGATGGCAAGTGTGTCCATCTATTTGCTCCAGCCAGAAACCTGAGAATGTCAGTGTAGGGCCAATAGATCGCCCCAAATGACGGGAAGACAACCCATATGCAATTGCAGAAAGCAGCTTTATTTTCAAGACAGAAAAATTAGCATGCTGGGGTGGACCCGAAGTAGCATCAACCCCAGGGAAGAGTGAGGTGGTCCCTTTTAAGCTTGTTTAGGGGAATTTCAGCTGTGCTTAGGCATTCTTTGAAGTGATTAGGTGTAGACCCTGACTGGTCAGGAGCAACTTAGTGACTGGCTCATGACATCTGGTCAGCAACTACGGTGGCTGTGTCAGGGGTTTGCTAGAGTCTTTAAAGATAGCAAGAACAGTTCTTACTTGAGGTCAGGTAGGACCCTGATTGGCCCCCTGGCCGGTCATACTTCCTGAGGGTCTGGTTGGGGTCAGACTTGAGTCAATATAGGATGGTGGGGTAAAATGGGGCAGAGGTCTTAGCAAACTGACCCCTTTAAAACCAACTGCCCCTGGTCCCTCCACACCCCCCTCCTTGAGTTGAAACTAAGTCAAATCTTTGAACTTCATAGAATTCTGTATCATTTATAGGCAGAGACCTATATTGGCTGCAAAGGACCATTAATTTAATTGCTAGGGTGCATTCTTTTATGATAAGGAGGATAGTGTTGACTATACATGGCCCCAAATCAGAACTGCCAACAGAATCAATAGGGGTCCTACCAATTCGGTTATTAAGGTGGTGCCCCATGGGAACCATGAGAACGAGGGCTCATGCCAATTAGAACTGTCCCTCTCTTGTTTTTCTCTATATTGAAACCTTTTACATACCAGGGACAGATTCTTTTATACCCCTGAGTGATTAACATAGAAGCAACATTGTGCTCCCAGGGCCAGGTGTAGTCCTCCCTGTTGAAAGAAGAGGCCTAATCCTGGGCGGATCTCCTTATGCTAAAGAACTGAGGGGTGACTCTATATGGGAAATAGATTTTTCTAACTTGGCCAGATCTTGATCTCTCAGTTTTCTTATTCGTTTTCTTATTCTAACACAAGAGCAGTAGTGCCTATTCCAGTCACCCTAGCTATCCTCGGGCCTACCAAAGTGGGACTCTGGAGTGCTGGAGACTGCCGTGGGGAAGGTGGCTGGGTGGATTGTTAAGGTCTCGTCCGAATAATAAAGAACCATTGGGGACAATCTGAGTGAGGACACAGAATTCTGAGTTTTGTCGTACTATCTGGGTGTGCACACATAGGGTAAGTCCTGTGGAGCATGTCCACCAGGTGCCTTGAGGTGCCTTGAGGTGCCTTGAGGTAATAGGTCATGGAAGTGCTGGTAATAAAGCAGGGGGAGGTGCAGAGGGCAGATAAGCCTCCAGAATGGATGCGTTAGATGGCAGAATACAAAAGCCAGTCCTGTGGACTGATCCTCATGTAAGCTTGGGGTGGGTTCCCCATGGGCAGGTCATGTGGGAAGAATTTTCCTTGTATGAAGACATGACTGCTAGGCCCTCGTAGTAGGGAGGAGAGGAGTCTAAACATAACCAACAGGTCTGGGTCCAGTTTGACTGAGAATTATTTAGGTAAACATATATAGTTGTTAGGAGAGCAAACTTGATTAATTGGTCCTTGGGGCTGGGAGAGTTTTCTAGCGGGACTGACATTATTAAGGGCGCTGATTGTTCTGGGAAAGGATGGTTTTGTAGGTCGAGCCAAGGTGTTTATAGCTGGATTTGAGTCAACTGGGATAGGCACATGTACAGGGACTATGAATTGTATGGTATATAAGACACCTTCATCATAACCATTCAGTCATCGTCTTTCCAGTCATCTAGTTAGCTTGTCTCCTGGCCACTGTAATGGAGATCAGAATTGGATTGCATTTAGCTGACCCTGCATAGGCTTGGAGGTCTTTTTCCTAAGGATTAGAATTACTAGTAGCTGAAATAAGGTCTGGCTGGTTATTATACTGAGAAGTGTTAGTTTTGCATCCCCAAGTGGTACAATAGAATTGTCCTGGTCCCCTGGAGTCTTGGGTGGCCAGACCAGGACAAACACAGACTTTGGTAGTCTTTAGGCAGGTCTTCAGGCATTATTTATGACATCCATAACCTGCAGAGCAGTCATCATAAGACAGGCTCTTTCCATACAGACCAGTGTCCCTGGCCATTCTGGCGAGATCTCAGAGATCTATTGAGAATGTGAGGAAATCCAGAGGTACATGGAATGTAAGGTTGCTGGGTTGAGAAAGGTACTTAGGATGAACCCAACATGAGGGGGATTGAGGGACAAGGCCTAGTAGTATCAATTGGGTGATCAGGGGGATTTTTGAGAAGAACCTCCTTTATTGAGTAGGGAATGGTTATGGTTAGAGGCTGACCCAGAGATAATTTGGCATCCTAGACCAAGGAGGCTGTGGCTGTGATAATATAGAGGTAGCAAGGCTATCCAGAGACCATAGGGTCCAGCCACTTGGATAAGCAGGCCACAGGCTGCTTCCAGGGTCCAAGATTTAGAGTCAGAACCTCTTTAGTTACTTCCCCCTTTCATGTATGAACAGTTGAAAGGGTTTGTTTATGTCTGGTAAAGCTAGGGCAGAGGCCCTTAGCAGAGCTTCTTTTATGGCTCTAAAGGTCCCTTTGGGTCTCAGTCCAGAGGAAGGACTCCTCAGTCCTATGAGTGGCCTCATATAGGGGTTTGGCTATTTCAGCAAATCCTGGTAACCAGAATTAGCAGAATCCAGCTGAGCCTAGAAATTCTCAGATCTGCCTCTGGGTCTTAGGGGTTGGGATACCCAGGATAGTCTGCTTCTGGGAATGTGATAGCAATCCCTTACCTTAGAAGGTATTTGACTTCTGAGATGCAGAACTGAGCCTTTTTAGCTGACACCTGTATCCCAGCTGATCTAAGGCCTGTAGTAAGTCCCTAGTTGCCTGGAAGCAAGAGTTCTGGTCCTTGGAAGCAATCAAGAGGTTATCCACATATTAAAGGAGGGTCACTTCAGGGTGTGAGGTTTGGTAATCCCTGAAGTCTTAATGGAGGGTTTCAAAGATGGTCAGGGAGTTCTTGAATCCTTGGTGCAGGGCCAGGTAATCTGCCTGCTGAAGCCCCAGGCTGGGTCATGCCATTCAAAGGCAAAGATGGGCTGGCCCTTGGCCTTTGGGGTTAGGCTGAAGAAAGAATCTTTAAGGTCTAGAACTGAGTAAACTTGCAGCTCTGGGGAGAGGGAGCTCAAGAGGGTATAGGGGTTGGGAAGGTTGGGTGACTATCTTCAACCTGTTTGTTAACTTCCCTAAGTCCTTCATTGGCCGATAATCATTGTCAGGCAGAAGGAAGCGTGGTGTCCTGTGGTGCCTATTTAGCCCTAGTGGGACCTCTCAGCCTTATCTCTTGCTGAAAAGATCCAAGTCAGTCCCCTGGTTTGTCTGTTCTCTGACATTTCTCTATTGCTGTAAACTTCAGTGCCGATGGCTACTAACTCAGACATGCTTTTACCTTCAAAGCCATTGAGGCACTGACATTTCTTTTTGATATCTGGGGCTGCCTGGTTAACAAAGGTCATATTGGTTGCCATCTCGTGTTTAGGTGCTTCTGGGTTCAGGGGAGTGTAGGTGCAGTAGGCTACCATCAGTCATCCAAGAAAGGCGTCTGGTGACTCTGTCTTCTCTTGCATTACCTGGCTTACTTTTTACATTATGGGCCACCTAGCGGCTGCCTGAAGACCCCCCCCCCCCCACATACACATACACCATGAGAATCTGGTGATAGGCCTTTACTCTCTCCTTACCTTCGCTGGTATTGTAGTTCCAGCCCTTGTGTGATTGTATTGAGGAGAAGGCTGTGTATAATGATGGCCTCATTGCCCGTGGGAACCAGTTTACAGCATTCTCCCTGAATCCAATCTCTTTCCTCTGTAGGAAAAAGAATCTGAAGACAGTCATCCCAAGTAGGCTGATGAGTGAACCGAACAGTGCCAAGAAGGGATATTAGAGCCTGTGGCTTCTCAGAAAAGGAGGGAGTCTGGAATTTCCAGTTGTATGGATGGACTGGTAAGTTAGATGGGAGTTTCTATCTGTATCAGGCAGCCCCATGCCATGGAGGGGC